GGGTCTCTCGCTTGCAAAGCGAGTGCTCTAACCACTGAGCTACAGGACTCCACTGGTTTAGGTCGTACCTCTCCCACCGTCTTCACTTTGTTTCCACACACGGGTTTTCCTCCACCCCCCGCACTGTCTCGTGCGGTGTCCCTCAGGGCTCTGTCCGCGGTCCCCTCCTCTTCACCCTCTATATGCTCCCCCTGTGGTGACATCATCCGCAGACATGGGGTTCACTCCCACATGTATGCGGATGACACCCAACTCTACCTTTCCTCCTCTACCCTCAACTCCACGACCCCCGATGTCCTGACAGCTGTCTGTCCGACATCGAGTCCTGGACGAGAGACAACTTTCTTCAGCTCAACATGCGCAAAACTGAGGCCCTCCTGATTGGCTCACGTCACGCGGCTGAAACTCTGGTCCACGCCTTTGTCACCTCAAGGCCGGACTATGGGAACTCTCTCCTCGTCGGCCTTCCCGGCCCTCCCTCCACACTGCAGGTCATTCAGAACTCTGCAGCTCGTGTACTGTCCCGCATTTCCCCCCTTCTCGGGTCCCGACCCAACTGTCCAGTGCCTTGGGACGTCCTCCCGACGTGAAAGGCGCACTATAAATGGAATCTTGTTGTTGCTTAATCAGATAATTGTAGAGTATAACTGTAGCCTAAGGAGGTTATCCAGGAAAAAATGTGAGGTGGGCTCGTCCAGAAGGGAAATGGGGGGAAAATTAAAATCAGAATACAAGTCAGGAACTGAATTAATATAAATAGCTTATGTGAATTTTAGTATCAGGTCTCTGAGGGTCAATCACAGCCTTGTATGTTTGTCGGTCTGTTTTATTGTGTAAGTGGTGCTGGGTGCTGTTTATTTTCAAGTGTTCTATGTTAGTGGAGGTTGAGGTAGGTTATAGGGCAGTGCAGGTAATCACTCGAAGGTCTGGGGAATCACATGTGATGATACAGTTATATCAGGGATTGTTTTGATAATCAGCTATAACATAATGTGCTTAGACAGACCTTGAAGGTGTTCAAGATTGATGATACATTGATGATAGTTCAAGATTGATGTTTTCCACACTGGATTAAGAACCTTGGGCTTGTGGTGCGTATTTTCACAACAGTGCCTGACTCAGTATGAAAGTTGCACATTTTATTTTTTATAAATAGCAAAATACTGCAGATGCTGAAAATCAGAAATAAAAACAGAAGTCGCTGGGAACACTCAGCAGGTCAGGCAGCATCTATGGAGAGAAGAGATTTGAATGTAAGGATCCTTTGTGGGCGAACGCGGCAGCCAATTGCGCACAGCAATGTCCCACAAACAGTCGTAGATTGAAAATGACCAATTTAATTATTGTTTTTGGTTTTTTGGAGGGATTATTATTAGGCTCTGTGTGGAGTAAGGAAACTTGCCCAAGGTTTCGCCCTCTGCCTGGAATTGAACTCAGGTCTCTCACTTGCAAAGCGAGTGCTCTAACCACTGAGCTACAGGACTCCACAAAGCCTCCACATGCCATTACAGGACTCCACATGCCATTAGCTATTCAATTTACCTGGATCTGTTCATAAGTAAATAGACAATATAATGATAATAATCCTTGCATTTTGATAGAGCTCCTAATCATGTCTTCAAGACGTTTCAAAGAGCTTCACAGGATATACTGTTAAGTGTAGTGATTGTGTATTTTGTGGGCAGCCAATTGCACACAGCAGTGTTCCAACAAACAGTCCTGAATTGAGTGATCAAATTATTATTTTTTTTAAAAAGGATTATTACCCCCAGGAAAGCGATTCGCCAACCGACTAACAACCAGATTCCTACTTACTGATAGATAAACAGAGGCGTGTAAGGAGTAAGGAAACTTGCCTAACATTTCGCTCTGTCCGGGAACCGAACACAGGCCCTCTCGCTTGCGAGGCCAGCACGCTACCCACAATAGGCAGTCATAGCATACAGGGCACCACCTGGTAGAATGGGTGCTGTTGGAAATCATTTGTGGTTATTGCTTTTGGGTGAGAATGTATTTTACAATATCTTTGGGTAAGATTTGGGTATTTCTGAATAATCTGTAGCTTGTGGAGAGAAGAGTTGGGAAGTCCAGGAAGCAGGTAGTTGGTGTAGTCAAACCTGGACATGATGAAAGCGTGGATCAGGGTCTTGGCAGTCGTCTGCAGTGAGATGCAGTGACCGAGGCAGGCGATGTTGAGCAGGTGGGGAAAGGCGGAATTGGTCATAGCACGAATGTGGGATTTGAAGGATAGTTGAGAGTTGAAAAGGACATTGAAGTTTCATATTGGCTCTGTGAGGTGAAGAGTGCAGCCATGAATAGTAATAATGTCAGTGGCTGAGGTGAGGAGGCGCTGCCAGGAGCCAAGCAGCGGGGCCTCTGTCTTGCCAACATTGAGTTGGAGGAAGTTGACTCTCGTCCAGGACTTGATGTCAGACAGACAATTAGCCAGGACATCAACAGTCCTGGAGTTGAGAGTGAAGGCGGCGAGATAGAGTTGGGTGTCATCCGCATACGTAGAATCATACAGCACAGAAAGAGTCCATTCGGCCCATTGTGTCTACGCCGGCTCCGAAAAGAGCAACCCAACTTAATCCCACTGGCCCGCTTTCTCCCCATAGCCCTGCAATCCTGTCCTCCCCAAATACCCATCTACTTCGCTCTTAAAAGTTGTTATTGAATCACCTTCCACTACTCTTTCAGGTAATGCATTCTAGATCTGACGACTCACTAGGTGAAAAAAAAATTCCTAACCTGCCCTCTGTTTCTTTTAACTATCTTAAATCAGTGTCCTCGGGTTACTGACCCACCCGCCAGTGGAAACAGTTTTTCCCGGTTCAACCTATCAAATCCTCTCATGATCTTGAAAACTTCTATTAAATCCCCTCTTAATCTTCTCTGCTCCAGGGAGAATAATCCTAGTTTCGCTAACCTCTTCTCATCACTAAGGTCCTTCATTCCTGGTACCATCCTGGGAAACCTCCTTTGCGCCCTCTCCAATGCCCCAACATCTTTCCTAAAGTGCGGTGCCCAGAACTGAGTCTCCAACTGAGGCCTAACAGCATTTTATAAATACTCAACACAACCTCCTGACTATTGAATTCTATGCCCCTATTTATAAAACCTAGTATCCCGTTTGCTTTTTNAACAGCTTTGTCTTCCTGTCCTGCCACCTTCAGAGATTTGCTTATGTGGACCCCCAGATCTCTCTGTTCATTTGCCCCCTTTAAGATTGTCCCATCAGCTTATATTGCCTCTCCTCATTCTTCCTCCCAAAATGCAGCACTTCACATTTCTCCACATTAAACCTCATCTGCCACGTTTCTGCCCATTTTACCAGTCTGTCTAAGTCCTCTTGGAGTCTGGTGCTGTCCTCCTCACCATTAACTGCTTTTCCTAGCTTAGTATCACCTGCACATTTGGAAACTGCTCCCTATATCCAGGTCCAGATCATTATATAGATCAGAAAGAGCAGTGGTCCCAATACCGACCCCTGAGGGACACCACACACCCCTCCCTCCAGTCAGAAAAGCAACCGTTTACTACCACTCTCTGCTTTCTGTCTCCTCGCCAGTTCTGGATCCATGTTGCCACAGTCCCTTTAATACCGTGGGCTTCTATTTTGTTTATAAGTCTCTTATGTGGCACTTTGTCAAATGCCTTTTGAAAATCTAAATAAACTACATCTATTGCACTACCTTCATCCACCCTCTCAGTCACTTCATCAAAAAACTCTTATCAGGTTTGTCAGACACGATCTGCCTTTAACAAATCCATGTTGACTGTCCTTTATTAAACCATATTTTTCTAAGTGAGAATTTATTTTGTCCCGAATTATAGTCTCCAGAAGTTTCCCTACTACTGCTGTTAGGCTGATTGGCTGTAGTTCTCAGGTTTATCATTCTGCCCCTTTTTGTACAGGGGAGTAACATTTGCAGCCCTCTGGCACCACTCGTGTCCGAACATGATTGAAAGATTGTGGCCAGAGCCTCCACTATTTCCACCCTTGCTTCTCTCAATAACCTAGGATGCATCTCGTCCGGACCGGGTGACTTATCGATGTTGAACACCGACAGCCTTTTTAGTACCTCCTCACTGTTGATTTTTACCATATCCAATTTCTGTTCACACCCCTGTGATATTGTGGCATTGGTTGTATCATCTTCTTTTGTGAAGACAGTTGCAAAGTACTTGTTTAGTACGTGAGCCTCTACCTCAACAAGAAGATTTCCAGTTGTGTCCCTAATTAGACCCACCCTACTTTTGACTAACCTTTTACTCTTGATATGCTTATAAAATACCTCAGGGTTCCCTTTTATGTTTCCTGCTAATCTTTTCTCGTATAATCTCTTTGCCCCTCTTTTTCCCTTTTCACTTCTCTGTACTTCCTATATTTTGTTTGATTATCCTGTGTGTTCTGGACCTGAAATTTGCCATTAGCCTCCTTTTTCTGTTTTATTTTAATCCCAATTTCCTTAGTCATCCAGGGAGGTTTGACTGTCCTGCCTTTCCCATTTGTGGGAATGTATTTGTTCTGTCCCCGAACTATCTCCTCCTTGAAGGTTTCCCATTATTCGTTTGCTGTCTTACCTGCCAATCTTTCTTTCTAATCTATCTTGGCCAGGTCCCTTTTTAGCTCACTGAACTTAGCCTGCTAAGCCAGTTGAGGGTCTTTACCTTTGATTGATCATTGTCCTTTTCCATAACTATTCTAAACCATATGGCAGGTGGACAGAATGTCATTTGTCGCTTTGACCAGTGCTGTCTCTGTGCTGTGAGTAGCACGAAACCCTGAACCAATTGAGCTCAACAGTGTCCCACATACAGCTGTGGATTTGTATCCAATGAGCTCAGAGAAGCATGGTCTGAAGTGAAGATCATCGTTACCCTGGAACAGTATTGTAATAACATGCACTGTGTTGGCGCAATCCCAGATTCTGGGTGTTGCTGTTGCCAAAATGTATTTGCCGTGTATCTGGTAACAATCTTTTCCATTGTTTCAGGACCCTGTGAGCTTCCAAAATGAATTCCACTCTAACAGGCAGACAGATCCGGCAGCAGTTCATTGATTTCTTCAAAAGACACAATCATGAGTATGTGCATTCCTCAGCTACCATTCCCCTCGATGACCCCACGCTTCTCTTTGCCAATGCTGGCATGAATCAGGTAGGTTAAAAGTTATAATAATCTTTGTATTTGATACAGTATCTTATCGTCTTTGAAACATCTCAAAGCGCTTCACAGAATATACAGTGTAGTGACTGTGTATTTTGTGGGGGAAACACGGCAGGCAATTGCGCACAGAAAGTTGTTATCTTTCAGCACGAGTCCTGGTTCAGTCCATAGTGTTCCCAAGGCATTAGGGTTAAATGTCTCTAAAAATCAATTATTTTCCCATTTTATTGCAAACTATTACTGAATTGCATTCACTTAATCCAAGATCTTCTCCAGTGAGTAGTGAGATTTTGAACCAAAATAAAATAGTCATCTGAATCACAGTTTAACTTCAGCCCATCATAAGAGATTAAAATTGCTGGCATCTTTGTGTATTATGGCAATAAATGGGCTGCCTTGACACAACCCCGTTTCCTCTCGGAGCTTGCTACGTTTTATGGTTTTCAGACTCAAACTAGTGGTTGTATATTCCCTGTTTTAAATTAATATTGAGAAAAACATGTGGGGAAGATTGGCTATCTGTGATCCTGCAGTTATGAATCTGGTATATAATGATAATTTTTACTGCTGCAGGAAATTCACTATGTCTGAAGTCAGTTGTGTGAACTATCAAATAAATACATAATAGCAGAAGACGTGGGTCTCTGCTCATACCGCACTATAACTGCTTGGAAGCGCATGAGCAACATTAGGTGATGGGTTCTTTATCCTTCCCTGTGGGAAAGCACATATCTCAGCGATCTGCCAGGCCAGGGTCGTGTGGTTTAGTTTGAGGTGGGAGTCCTTATTGATATTTCTGCAGTCTTTACAATGTCTCTTAATTGTGGTGTCCGGGAATAATGGAATCATAACCTCATATTTAAATTGAAATGGTTAATAATGAAACTTAATTCAAGGTCTAATTGGTTTTGTGATGGTTGCCATCCCACAAATAAGTATAGGATTAATAATTACAACAGCATTCGCATGGCAAGGTGCCAATCAAATTGTCTTGGTTGTTACCTTTTTAAGGACTGCAGTGATATTTCAGCAGAATGCTCCTCTTTCTATCACACTATACTAAACAATAATGAACCTTGTATTTAATATAGCACCTTATCACATCAAACCTTTTCAAAGCACTTCAGTTTTCTGTGAAATTAGTTACTGTATCTTGAGGCGGATGAAGCAGCCAATTTGTCCCCAGGAATTTCCATGAAAAAGCCAGGAAATGAATGACTCTCTGGGGCACTTTGGACACTTCCCCGCGTGAGGTGCACTGTATAAATGCAAGTTGTTGTTGTTAACCAATTTAACTGGAAGATTGTTGACCAAGAAGAAACTCAATTTCTTTCCAAATAATATTGTACGTTGTCTTTTAAGAACTGTAGAAAACTGGCTTTAGAGTTGAGACTGAATTCAACAAATTGTCAAATTCTTTGTACTCTGAAATACTTAAAAACTAGAGTGAATCCAGACCCTGTTGGAATTTCTGCCCTCAAATGTACACATTCAAGTAAACTGTCTGTTTCAAAAGTATATATTGTATACATGGTATCATTGCTTACTTTATTTTTACAGTTCAAACCCATTTTTCTGAACACAATTGACCCATCCCATCCCATGGCAAAGTTAACAAGAGCAGCAAATACCCAGAAATGTATCCGCGCTGGAGGTAAACACAATGACCTGGATGACGTGGGGAAGGATGTTTACCACCACACCTTCTTCGAGATGTTGGGTTCTTGGTCCTTTGGCGATTACTTCAAGGTAGAAATAATTAGATATAGACCTGCTGTGGTTAATGAATGAAGCATAAGTGATAGAAATTAACAAAAACTGGAGGCTATAAATCTCTCTTGTTTCATACAGTCATAGATTTTCATTTTAGTTTCACGATGCAGCTTGTGGGATGGGAGTTCCGAGAACATTAAATATGCGTTTCAGGCCATTGACATCAGCACATTGTGTAATGTTGAAACAATCTAAATAATTCAGATACTAACTATTGAAAGGCACTCACACACAAGCCTCTGCTGGAGTAGTGCTGTGAGGCAGTAGCTTTTGTATCTACCAAGAAAATGCTCGAGAACGCAACTGGATCTGTCCATTCATGAACTCTTGCGGACTCACTGTGACAGAAGATACTCTGCCATCTCCACCCCACACTCTCTTTTAGGAAATTGAAGCTAGAAAAAACCATTGTGCACTTTTCAGTAAAAATAAATATTCCCCACAAAAAAAGTCTTTCCTCAAATTGGGACATTTGTGTTCAGAGTGTCTCTGAGTTCTCTGATTGAAGTAGTGGCTCAGAGTTTAGTGATGTGCCTAACCTGTGTCCACCGCCAGATCTGGTTGAACTGGACTGAAACATATCGCATTCTCCCCACCTCAACAAAATCATCCTTCTACTGCACGGTTATCCTGGAGGTCAAGAATATTCCTACTTTGCTCATATTTCCCCTCCCCCTTCCTGTCCCACCCACACCTCGGGTGCCAAGCCAGGACTGTTGAGTGCCTTGGGATGTGCTGCCAATGTGAAAGGCATTATTTAAATGTAAATTCATGTTGTATTTAATATGTGCTGGAGTTAGAAGGCTCTCATGTTTATTTTTGTGTATAGCATCTGGCTTGTGAGATGGCCTTCGAGCTGCTAACGAAGGAGTTCGGGATTCCTATCGAGAGGCTATATGTGACCTATTTTGGAGGAGATGAAAAGGCAGAACTGGAGCCAGATCTTGAATGCAAGCAGATCTGGGTAAATCTTGGGTAAGAACTTGTTCAAATGAAGGTTGATATTCTTTTTCTTTAGAATCCTTCGTTTCATCCACAAAATATTCAGTCACTTTACTGTATATTCTGTGAAGCGCTTTGAGAAGTCTTGAAGATGTGATAAGGCGCTGTATCAAATACAAGAATTATTATTATTATAACATGCTGCCTGAATAATGTTTCTCAAACAACCATGAAGTGATTGACCAATTTTATTTAGGGTATTCTTGGCCAGAACATTGAGAGGGACTCCTCTTTTCGGAACTCATTTTTTTAAGCAATGATCTGCCATTTGGCTACTCAATATCTAAATTATTGTGGTAGGTTTTGAATCATTAATGTCTCATTCTTCCTGAAGTGAGAATTTTGAATCATTTGTGAAGATTTTAGGCAGTAAAAAGCCAATTGCTTTTCAAAATGACAAGTTTATTGACATGATTGTAACATAGTATATTGTAAACTATAAACAGTGACCCCCTAGAGTTAGCTACTAGCGAGGGCTGTGTTCACGAAGACACGTGTTAATGTAATCTGCACCTTTCTGTTCAGAATGGCAGAGGAGCGCGTTCTTCCAGGAAGCATGAAGGATAATTTCTGGGAAATGGGAGACACTGGACCTTGTGGGCCCTGCAGTGAAATGCATTTTGATCGCATTGGAGGACGTGATGCTGCACATCTGGTCAATATGGATGATCCAAATGTTTTAGAGATCTGGAACCTTGTGTTCATCCAGTTTAACAGGTAATGTGCACCATTCAATCTGTACAATATTACACTGTATTCCTGTTCTACCTGGGGCTCACAACGGAGCTAGATAAATGAACTTACTCAGTGTGACAACACGACTCAAAGCACTTCACTGTCACTCCTATAAGTTTGTTGGTGTTTGGTGCTGCTGATTAGTACCACAAATTACTTCCTGTTCCATCAGAGCCTTTTATTTCCTAGGGCAAACAGCACGTTTACTATTAGATCTGAATTTTCCTTCACTGAACCTGGACAAAGGACTTGCCCAACTGCGCAGTGACAGCTGATTCAGTCCCTCTTTCTGCAGGTTCAGCACGAGGCTAACGTAAATGCTGTAACAACGTAATGCAATCGTCTGACACTCCCATCCTATCTCCTTATCAGCTGAATATTGAGGAGTCTCCTGCTATTACTTTCAGCATGAGTGTGCCGTTGCAGTGTAGTGACTATCACTATGAGTGTGCCGTTACAGTGTAGTGACTATCACTATGAGTGTGCCGTTACAGTGTAGTGACTATCACTATGAGTGTGCCGTTACAGTGTAGTGACTATCACTCTGAGTGTGCGGTTACAGTAATAATAATAATAATAATCCTTGCATTTGATATAGCGCTTTTCACGTCTGGAGGACGTCCCAAAGCGCTTCACAGAACACACTGTAAAGTGAATTGACTATATTTGTGGGCGAACGCGGCAGCCAATTGCGCACAGCAATGTCCCACAAACAGTCGTAGATTGAAAATGACCAATTTATTATTGTTTTTGGTTTTGGAGGGATTATTATTAGGCTCTGTGTGGAGTAAGGAAACTTGCCCAAGGTTTCGCCCTCTGCCTGGAATTGAACTCAGGTCTCTCACTTGCAAAGCGAGTGCTCTAACCACTGAGCTACAGGACTCCACAGTGTAGTGACTTTCCTGTTGCTTGTATAATACTAATGTTATTCTTGTGTTTGGTTATTCGTGCTTTTCCCAAATTAACATTTTTTATATGAAAGTCAGAGAAGTGTAACAAAATGTTGATGTTTAAACCTAACTTTAAACCTTGTTTCCTCTCCCTTCTCAGAGAAACTGACGGTAGCCTGAAACCTCTGGCTAAGAAGAGCATTGATACTGGATTGGGTCTGGAGCGACTGGTTTCAGTCCTACAGGGAAAGATGTCCAACTATGACACTGACCTCTTTGTTCCTTACTTTGAAGCCATTCAGAAAGTAAGTATCTAAATATGTATTTGTTGTCCTTTCTTCCATCTCATTTGTCTATCTGTATGGCTGTGTGTTTCTCTCTGCGCGCACACGCAAACATTCCACTTTGCTAAGAATATGGGTCGTAAATCCTATGGGAAGATATTTTTCCTCTAAGCTGAGACAATTTCAACATTTAGTGTGTGACTGTGAGGTAAAAGCCTTACAATTAGCATAAGCCACTGGAGGTCAGGAAAATTAGCCAAATGTTAATGAGATGCCAAAGATCTCCTGCACCTTGACTTTATTATCTCTGAACACAAGTCAGTGTTTACAGATCTAACCTTAGGAAGAACCATCAATGAACTAAAGAATATATTGAGCTTTCATTGAGTGGAATTTATAGATTTAAAGCAATATCTGCCATTTATAGCCTTGGAGACATTCATTTCAGTGATGTATGTGTGTACTGTCCTCGGGTGACACTGTAGCAGACAGGACACCCCACTCACTAACAGTAAGTTCTGCACAGTCCTGGGAGTCCTGCCATTTGAGAGCCATTGTTATATGCTGTCTCCGAGTAGTTGGACAAACCTTTGAAATAACTTGTCTAATTCTAGCGAACTGGGTCTAGACCATACACTGGAAAGGTGGGAGCTGAGGATGTGGATGGGATAGACATGGCGTATCGAGTGCTGGCAGATCATGCCAGAACAATAACGATTGCCTTGGCTGATGGAGGGCGGCCTGACAACACCGGTCGAGGGTAAGATGGAAAAGCTGGAGACATTGCGGGGATTTGTCTGTCATCGGTGTATCAGTTGTAATCAGTTGGTTTGATACCAATGCTGCTGTTTCCATTTGCTGCTACAGTGTGCAACACCCGACTTCAAAATTGTCAGAAAGTTATTAAATTCCCAGCTCTCGCTCAGATCTACTATTCTGATAAAGGAGAGTGTCAGCAGAGAACAGAAAATAATAACACTTGTATTTGCTATAACTCTGACAAGTAACATTGATAGCATCTGAATGCTCCTACAATGTTTTTGTGAGGTGGTGTAATTATTTGTAGGCAAACCCAGTAGCCAATTTGAACACAATAATGCCCCATTAAAGGCCATGAAGTCAATGACCAATTTATCCAGAAGATTGTTGGCCAGGACATTTGGAAATATTTCCTTCTTATTAGATTTCTTTTTAAAATGTGTATCCTATTATTTTCTGATTTTCTGTTAGTATATAATTAGTATATGTCTCTGGTCTGGCCCCTCATTCAAGGGTGTGGGTCTAGGGCAGGGGTTGGCAAAATATGTGGCCCACCAGATTCTATCCAGCCAGTCACTGTGTCTCGCAATAGAAAAAATTATGGTTCGTTCAGTCCCAGAAAGTTCCACAAATTTCGCATTTGAATCTGACTGGGAACATCAGCCAATCACACGACTTAGTTGTGCACAGCTCCCTTAAGTGTTGAATCAGGCTGACATCAGAAATGTACGGATCGGCAAATTTTCAAACGTGCGCTCGGCAACCGCGGCAATACTTTTCACTGAAGAGGACGTTAATTCAAAATGAGTTTATCAAAGAAGTGGAAAGTGGCGCTGAAGGCCGAATGTTCAACCAAGTTCAGTGTGGGTGGAAAAGTTGTGTGCTTAATTTGCAAACATTTGCTCTCCATTTTGAGAGCAAACATGCTTGCAAATATAAGAATGTTTCTGGAAAGCTGATGAAAGAAAGCTGATGAGATGGTTGTTCGAATGCAAAAAGAGCAAAGCATTTTCACAAAACAATTTACGTCCCAGGATGAGATTACACAAGTGAGTTACGTGATTGCACACAAAATCGCCAAGAACAACAAACCATTCTCTGAAGGAGAATTTATAAAGGAATGTATGTTTGACTCTGCCTCGATTTTATGCCCGGACAAGGAAAAACAGTTCGAAAACATTAGCTTGACAAGGCGAACTATTGTGAGACGTGTTGAGGATATTAAAGTAAGCAATTTTGCATGTTTTTCACTGGCACCCGATGAGAGTTGTGATGTCAAAGATATAACCCAGTTGAGAATTTTTATTCGAGGTATCACCAAACATTTTGAGCTCACAGAAGAATTGGCATCAATGCAGTTAATGAAACATACGACAACTGGAGAAGACTTTTTGGAGGCAGTGAATAAATTTATCTTAAAATTAGGAGTGGAGTGGAAAATATTGGTGAATGTAACCACCGATGGAAGCCCAAATCTGACAGTCAAAAATTATGGGTTCCTGAAAAGAATTCAAGATCAAGTCAAAGAAACAAATCCAGAACAGAGTATTGTTTTTCTACACTGCGTTATCCACCAAGAGGTCCTCTGTAGGAATGTTCTAAAACTAAGCCAGGCCGTGGACACAGTTACGAAAGTGGTCAACTACATTCGTGCAAGAGGATTAAACCACAGGTAATTCGTAACTCTGCTTGAGGAATTGGAATCCGAGCACACGGATGTTCTGTATCACAAGAATATAAGATGGCTTAGTTTAGGAAAGGTCTTGAAGAGAGTGCGGGAACTGAGAGCAGAGATTGATTTATTTTTGGACATGAAACAAAAAGATTTGTATTTCCCACAGCTGAATGATGCAAATTGGCTCTGATTTTTGCATTGCCGTTGATATCATGGGCCACATGAATGAACTGAATTCAAAACTGCAACAGAAAGGGGCCTTTGTGCACGATTTGTATCGCAGTGTCAAGTCATTTATGACAAAATTATTTCTTTTATAGCGTCAGATAGGAAACAGGCTGTTCGCCCACTTTACAATTTTGAGGCAGATTACTGTTTGCGATCAAATCCTTAAAAAGTATACTTCGTCACTACTTGACTTGCATGCCGAATTTTCTCACAGATTTCAATTTGATCAAAAATGACCTGCCTTTGGTCTCTTCACCTTTCTCATTTGATGTTGACAAAGCCCCATTTGACCTCCAACTCGAGCTTATTGACCTGCAATGTGATCCGTTGCTTGCGGAGCAATTCAAATCAGTGCCGCTTCCCAGTTTTACGCTTCTCTTAATGAATATACCTTTCCAAATATAAAGGCTCATGCCCGGAGGATGTTTGTGCTGTTTAGATCAACATACATATGCGAGAAGACATTTTCTATGATGAAATTCAATGAATCAAACATAGAGCTATGATGAACGATGACCCCCTTGCAGCAGTATTTTGCATTGCAACAACGGAGACGATGCCTGACTTCAATTGTCTGGTTAACGCACATCAGCGCTTTCATTCTTCCCGTTGAGTGAGCTTCTCACATTCACATCAATATGTGAAATGAATAAATATCGAATAAATGTCTGCTCAATGAGTTGTTTTTATTTAACCCAATTTTAATGAATGTCAATTATATAGACTTTATTTTATGCATAGATAAGTGTAAGACTTGATTTTGAGCTATTATTAAGCATTTAAGTGTGTGTCCCGCGAAGCTAACCAAAACTCGTGAAGTGACCCACCAGCCAAAATAATTGCCCACCCCTGGTCTTGGTTTCCTTCCAGTGATTGCTCATGTATGAGCCTCACAAGGCTCACTGCACCACAGGGAATTAGATGAGCCATTAGCTTGTCTGGAACTACACGTTTGAGTCATAGAATCTTACAGCACAGAAGGCCCATCATACTTGTGTGTGCAAATTGGCTACTGGGTTTTCCTACAAATACAGTTACTACACCTTTACAAAATATTGCTTTTATACTGGAGATAAAAAAAAAGCTGCTTACTTGGGCAGCACAACTCCCGTTGTGTACTGCCTGAACTCCTGCGGGGTCAATGGCTCTTCTCAGTATAACTAAAATATTTTCTCTTTAATGCACAGCTATGTGTTGAGAAGAATTTTGCGACGAGCAGTGCGATATTCCCACGAGAAGCTGAATGCACAGAAAGGATTCTTCGCTTCCCTTGTTGATGTGGTGGTGGACTCACTGGTAGGAACTCTGTACCTACTCACACTCATTCTCAGTGCAGATTGCTGGGATAGAGTAAGTTCTTCATACTGAGATTTATCGTATAGGCAGTCATCTGACTTCACTGAGGAAGGAAGAAACTTTCATTTGCGCTGCATCCTTGCATTTGATATAACATCTTATCTTGTTGTCAAAATGTCTCAAAGCACTTTTACAATGTTTACTGCAAAGTGACTGTATGGTGGACTCCGGATAACTCGTCTCTGCAAGGGAAAAGAGCTCGGTGACAAATTATCTAGAGTGGTGAGTTAGGCATAGGTCCTCCCGAGCCACAAGATGGCACTGTCACTGGTACAGGTACTCGGCATGCATGCTCCAATGCATTGCAGTCTATTGGAGTGCCCCCCCGCCACCTCCGTCGTATCCTGTCAAAGGGCGGGAGGCTGGGGCAGGCCAGAGCCCGGCCCTCCAGTAGACCAGAAGCCTCAGTGATGCATCTGAGTGTGCATGTCTACCCTCCGGTGAGCGCTCGAGCAGTGACAGGATAGGGCGGGAGGCCTCTGTGGTGCCAAATACCATCTTATAGAACACTGTTATCCGATTGAATCTCACATTGTAAGTACTTAGAATAATTTTTAGAATATGACAGTTATGTGTTAATTGAGTGACAAGTAAAGTGAAGTCACTTACTAACGTTTCGGAGGGGAAGTGGCCTGGGTATTGATAACATGGTGACTTACGTGATTGTGACAGAATCTTGTTATCAGGAGTTTACTGTATAGTCAAATACAACAGCAATTTTTTTTTTTATTTGTGGGATTGCAAGCGAGAAACCTGGGTTCAATTCCTGGCAGAGTGAAACCTTGGGCAAGTTTCCTTACTCCACACACCTGATAATAGTCCCTCAAGAAGAAACAATAATAAATTGGTCACTTCAATTCACGACTGTTTGTGGGAGACTGTGCACAATTGGCTGCCACATTTCGCCCACAAAATATACAGTCAATTCACTTTACAGTATATTCTGTGAGACGTCTCAAAGACATGATAAGATGCTATATCAAATGCAAGGATTATTATTATTGTTGGTGAGAGCATGGGGAGAAACTCCCTTATCTTTTCCAATATTGCCGTGAGATTTTTAACATTCATGTGAACAGGTAGACAGGAACTTGATTTAACATATCGTCTGAAGCACGGCACCTCTGACAATGCAGCACGGTCCCAGCACTACATTACAGTTAGGCTCAGATTCACAACTTGGGACTTGAACCCACAACGCTCTGACTCAGACATGGCAGTGTTACCAGCTGAGCCAGGCTACCAGATAGAAAGGCGATGAGCAGAGGCTGAACATGACACCACAGGGCAGAGAGCTTAGAAAGTGTAATGCTGATGAATGTATCTAAAACAGCTCACCCCCTTTGATGAAGGGGAGGGGGAAAGAAGACAACTTGCATCATTTTTGAGTGCATTATAAACACCTTTTTTTTAGAAAAACAAGTTGATGGCCAACAAACAATAAAGTATTTGTGTAAACTGAGTTATTTTGAGGGACCACTTCATCTTTGGATTGCTAAGCGCTCCGAGACACCCTCCGGGGTGAAAGGATGATATATAAATGTAAGTCATTATTGAGTGAGGCAGCTGCCTGCAGCAAGCACAACAAGCATCTGCTTTAAGACAATTCTGGGTTGCAATTGTTGCAGATCCGCAATGGGCTAATCACTTCTTCTGATTCTCCAGGGAGATGCATTCCCAGAGCTGAAGAAAGATCCTGATATGGTGAAGGACATTGTCAATGAAGAGGAAGAACAGTTCTTGAAAACACTGAGCAGAGGACGGCGTATTCTGGAAAGAAAGATTCATAGTCTGACAGACGGGCAAACCATTCCAGGTCTGTGACAGAACCATAGCAACAGGTGTATAATGGAACACATCACATGTCATATAGCCACATAGAATCATAGAATTAATTATACAGCACAGAAGGAGCTATTTGGCCCATTGTGTCTATGCCGGCTCTTTGAAACGAGCTTCCAAATCAACCCTGCTCTCTCCCGATAGCCCTGATCAACCCCATACCCCCGCTCTCTCCCGATAGCCCTGATCAACCCCATACCCCCGCTCTCTCCCGATAGCCCTGATCAACCCCATACCCCCGCTCTCTCCCGATAGCCCTGATCAACCCCATACCCCCGCTCTCTCCCGATAGCCCTGATCAACCCCATACCCCGCTCTCTCCCGATAGCCCTGATCAACCCCATACCCCCGCTCTCTCCCGATAGCCCTGATCAACCCCATACCCCCGCTCTCTCCCGATAGCCCTGATCAACCCCATACCCCCGCTCTCTCCCCATAGCCCTGATCAACCCCATACCCCCGCTCTCTCCCCATAGCCCTGATCAACCCCATACCCCCGCTCTCTCCCATAGCCCTGATCAACCCCATACCCCCGCTCTCTCCCCATAGCCCTGATCAACCCCATACCCCCGCTCTCTCCCCATAGCCCTGATCAACCCCATACCCCCGCTCTCTCCCCATAGCCCTGATCAACCCCATCCCCGCTCTCTCCCCATAGCCCTGATCAACCCCATACCCCCGCTCTCTCCCGATAGCCCTGATCAACCCCATACCCCCGCTCTCTCCCGATAGCCCTGATCAACCCCATACCCCCGCTCTCTCCCCATAGCCCTGATCAACCCCATACCCCCGCTCTCTCCCCATAGCCCTGATCAACCCCATACCCCCGCTCTCTCCCCATAGCCCTGATCAACCCCATACCCCCGCTCTCTCCCCATAGCCCTGATCAACCCCATACCCCCGCTCTCTCCCGATAGCCCTGATCAACCCGATACCCCTGCTCTCTCCCGATAGCCCTGATCAACCCGATACCCCCGCTCTCTCCCGATAGCCCTGATCAACCCCATACCCCCGCTCTCTCCCGATAGCCCTGATCAACCCCATACCCCCGCTCTCTCCCCATAGCCCTGATCAACCCCATACCCCCGCTCTCTCCCCATAGCCCTGATCAACCCCATACCCCCGCTCTCTCCCGATAGCCCTGATCAACCCCATACCCCCGCTCTCTCCCCATAGCCCTGATCAACCCCATACCCCCGCTCTCTCCCCATAGCCCTGATCAACCCCATACCCCCGCTCTCTCCCGATAGCCCTGATCAACCCGATACCCCCGCTCTCTCCCGATAGCCCTGATCAACCCTATACCCCCGCTCTCTCCCGATAGCCCTGATCAACCCCATACCCCCGCTCTCTCCCCATAGCCCTGATCAACCCCATACCCCCGCTCTCTCCCCATAGCCCTGATCAACCCCATACCCCCGCTCTCTCCCGATAGCCCTGATCAACCCCATACCCCCGCTCTCTCCCCATAGCCCTGATCAACCCCACTCCCTCGCTCTCTCCCCATAGCCCTGATCAACCCCATACCCCCGCTCTCTCCCCATAGCCCTGATCAACCCCATACCCCCGCTCTCTCCCCATAGCCCTGATCAACCCCATACCCCCGCTCTCTCCCGATAGCCCTGATCAACGCCATACCCCCGCTCTCTCCCGATAGCCCTGATCAACGCCATACCCCCGCTGTCTCCCGATAGCCCTGATCAACCCCATAACCCCGCTCTCTCCCCATAGCCCTGATCAACCCCACTCCCCCGCTCTCTCCCCATAGCCCTGATCAACCCCGCTCCCCCGCTCTCTCCCCATAGCCCTGATCAACCCCGCTCCCCCGCTCTCTCCCCATAGCCCTGATCAACCCCGCTCCCCCGCTCTCTCCCCATAGCCCTGATCAACCCCACTCCCCCGCTCTCTCCCCATAGCCCTGATCAACCCCACTCCCCCGCTCTCTCCCCATAGCCCTGATCAACCCCGCTCCCCCGCTCTCTCCCCATAGCCCTGATCAACCCCACTCCCCCGCTCTCTCCCCATAGCCCTGATCAACCCCGCTCCCCCGCTCTCTCCCCATAGCCCTGATCAACCCCACTCCCCCGCTCTCTCCCCATAGCCCTGATCAACCCCACTCCCCCGCTCTCTCCCCATAGCCCTGATCAACCCCACTCCCCCGCTCTCTCCCCATAGCCCTGATCAACCCCACTCCCCCGCTCTCTCCCCATAGCCCTGATCAACCCCACTCCCCCGCTCTCTCCCCATAGCCCTGATCAACCCCACTCCCCCGCTCTCTCCCCATAGCCCTGATCAACCCCACTCCCCCGCGCTCTCCCCATAGCCCTGATCAACCCCACTCCCCCGCTCTCTCCCCATAGCTCTGCAAACTTGTCGTCCCCAAATAATTATCTACTTCGCTCTTAAAAGCTGTTATCAAATCGGCTTCCACCAGCCTTTCAGGCAATGCATTCCAAATCCCAACAACTCTCTGTGTGAAAACATTTCTCCTCCCCTCCCCTCTGTTTCTTTTAACAACTATTTTAAATCGGTGTCCTCGGGTTACCGACCCACCCGCCATTGGGAATAGTTTCTCCTTGTTCACCCTATTGAATCTCCTCATCATTTTGAAAACTTCTATTAAGTCTCCTCTTAACCTAATCCCAGCTTCTCTCGCCTCTCCTGATATCTGAAGTCCCTCATTCCTGGTACCATCCTGGTCAATCTCCTTTGCACCCTCTCCAATGCCTTGACATCCTTCCTAAAGTGTGGGGCCCAGAACTGAACACAGTCTCTCGCTGAGGCCTAACCAGTGTTTTATATAAAGGTTCATCATAACTTCCTGACTTGTGTACTCTATGCCCCTATTTATAAAGCCCAGTATCCCATATGCTTTTTTAACAGCTGTATCTGCCTGTGCTGCCACCTTCAGAGATTTACTGATATGAACCCCAGGTCTCTCTGTCCCTTCACCCCCTTTACGATTGTACCATCAGCTTATATTGCCTCTCCTCATTCTTCCTCACAAAATGCATCACTTTGCATTTCTCCACATTAAACTTCATCTGCCACGTGTCTGCCCATGTTACCAGTCTGTCTATGTCCTCTTGCAGTTTGCTACTATCCTCCTCACTGTTTACTACTCTTCCTATCTTAGTATCATCTGCAAACTTGGAAATTGTACTCCCTATACCCAAGCCCAGGTCATTTATATAGATCAAAAAGAGCGATGGTACCAATACCGAACCCTGGGGGACACCACTGCACACTTCTCCAGTTAGCAAAAATGTCCACCAGAAAAATGACTGTTCAGCTGGGCATTAAAGTTCTTCTGGTGTTCTGACCAAAAAACGCCCAGCTAAATTGATCATTCAGGATTGTGGGTGGGACCTTACAATGTACAAATTGGCTGCCATGTTTGCCTACAAATATAGGCATTCCACTTGATGCGATTATCTTACCTCCGGGTAAAAAGACAATGTGGCATTACTTTAATTTTAATTATATGATATAATGACAAACCTAGGCTCTGAAAAAGTGAACGTTTTATGTACAATCCAGGGAGATATATACATTATGTATATATATCATATGTATATAATATATATATCATAGGTATATAATATACATATCACATGTATATAATATATATATTCTATGTATATAATATATATTCTATGTATATAATATATATGTAAAACCGAAGGTGGAGTTCTGTAGCTCAGTGGTAAGAGCACTCGCCTCACAAGCAAGAGACCTGGGTTCGATTCCCGACAGGGCAAAACCTTGGGCAAGTTTCCTTACTCCACACGCCTGATAATAATCCCTCAAGGAAATAAAGAAAATAACAATTTAGTCACTCAATCCATGACTGTTTGTGGGACACTTCTGTGCGCAATTGGCTGCAAATATACAGTTAATTCACTTTACAGTATATTCTGTGAAGCTCTTTGAAACACCTAGAAGATGTGAAAAGTGCTATATCAAATGCAAGGATTATTATTTTTTTTACGAGTGTGTTATCAACATTGCAATCCCATCTTGAGCCCTGAGTTTGTTATATAATTTTTTTCCATCTGTTTTACTTTCCCCAAGGTGACACTGCATGGCTCCTTTATGACACCTATGGTTTCCCTGTGGATTTGACTGCGCTGATCGCAGAGGAGAAAGGACTCCGTGTGGACCTGGAGAGCTTTGAGGAGGAGAAAAAGGCTGCCCAAGTAAGCTCCCAGTTCTTTGCCCTATTAAATACAGGAGTAGAGGCAGTGAGTTTAAAAGCCATTTGTAAATTCTCACACACATACTTGACTTTGTAGTTCACTGGCTCCCCAGCAGATCAAGTTTGAGTCAACTTACTCAAAGTACACGTCCCAGCTCCTCCCTTCCCTCAGCAAACACTGGCCTGATTCATGTTCCCAGCCCTATCCGCCCATCATCAGCGGGCGGGGCTTTCAGCCATTTTGGAGTCCTGTAGCTCAGTGGTTAGAGCACTCGCTTTGCAAGTGAGAAACAGTTCAATTCCAAGCAGGTCAAAACCTTGGGCAAGTTTCCTTACTCCACACAGAGCCTAATAATAATCCCTCCAAAACCAAAAACAATAATTAAGTTGGTCATTTTCAATCTACGACTGTCTGTGGGACATTGCTGTGCGCAATTGGCTGCCGCGTTCGCCCACAAATATACAGTCAATTCACTTTACAGTGTGTTCTGTGAAGCTCTTTGGGACGTCCTCCTGACGTGAAAAGCGCTATATCAAATGCAATAATCAAATGATTATTATTATTATTTTTATTCTGCCTCTGCTCTCTGGAACTCCATCTCGCTCGCTTTTAGTCATCACCTTCTCTTGTGGCTCCCATCCCTGGTTCGGATGCCTTACCAGCACTGCAAAGCTCGTTGAGATGTTCACATAGCTTGATATTCATTTCTTTGTCTACATTCGAAACCCTTCTATAAACTCACATCTCTGACTGCATTTGGCCAACATATCTGAAGGCGGTTTATCCATTGTGACAGATGCTATAGGAAAATAAGTTGTACTCTCACAGATCTGAGAGGAAATGGTGCATCCCCAGGGGAGGTGGGATGACAGCAAACATTATAGTGTCATTTGCACTGTTACCTCATTGATTTCATTTAAAAATAAGCAAGGAGCGTTTTAATTTGCTTGTACTAAGAGTCACGTCACATGCTTTAAATTTACAGTTGAAATCTCATGGAAAAGGTACAGGGTATGAAGACCACATCATGTTAGATGTCAATGCGATTGATGAGCTGCGTGCCAAGGGGTTTGAAGTCACTGATGATTCACCCAAATACAGCTACAGGGCAGAAAACAATGGCAACTATGGTAACGTTTATTCTGTATTGGTTGCAGGGTCATCCACGTTTCTGTCGTCTCCAGATTATAAAGGTGTATAAAATGTTAAATGGGATTGAAAAAGTAAACCCAGATCATTGCTTTAGGATTGCATCAAATTGCAAGGATAATTATTATTGAGACAGTAGAACAAGAGGACACAGCTGTAAAGGGGCAATTTCAGGATAGACACCAGAATGTTTCTCTTGAGCCAGAGGGTAATTATGACTGGAACAGGGTTACCAGGAAGGGCAGGTTGAGGCCAGGACACTGGGACTTGTTTAAACAGCAGCTCAATGCTGTGATAGGGGGATGGTAGAGTGGGTGTTCTGGAGGGATGAGATCGGATGGACCAAATAGCTTCATCCAAATAATATAAAATATAATAATTTGGTAACTCAATCCACAACAGCTTGTGGGACTCTGCTGTGTGGAATTGGCTGCTGCGTTTCGCCCACAAAATATACAGTCAATTTGTTTTACAGTATATTCTGTGAAACGCTTTGAGACATCTCAAATATGTGATAAGGGGCTTTATCAAATGCAAGAATTATTATTTATTATTCTGACCAATCTTGTCATTAAACATTATGATAAGTCCTGAGAACTCAAACAATGTTTGCTGGCCATTGGGGGCAAGTTTTTTGTGTCCTTCCTGGTCAAATTCTCTAGGAAGTAGTCATTTAATATGTTTGCTATCTTCTGTTAGCCAATCTGTGATATAGCTGTATTGGTACATCATCATATAATGCAACCTCACTGTGAAGAGAAAATTTCGGTAATTTCTTCTGCTTCCCCACCCTGTGCACCCAATCCTCGGCAGGTGGGCTTACAGTCATTCTCTCTCCACCCACCCCACCCCCCCCCACACCCCTGCTTCCTAGAATTTTATCCCAGATTTGCTTTGACTCCCTCCCTCCCCTATTTCAAGTTGCATCTTAAAATGTACCTCTTCGGTCATTTTTCATCTGCGCCCCCCCTACCCCCAGCTCTGACCTCAGTGAAACACTTCTGAGACGTTCTCCTGTTGTGAAGGGGGCTGTATCAATATAAATGGTATTGTACTGTTCATGTTCACGTGTTGACTCTTCGACCAGCTGATGTTACTTATTGTGTTTGCAGTCTTCACATCTGTAGAGGCCACGGTAAAGGCAATACGTAGGGAGAAAACCTTTGTTGACGAAGTGACGACGGGCCAGGACTGCGGAGTGCTGCTGGATGGCACATGCTTCTATGCTGAGCAGGGTGGTCAGATATATGATGAGGGATATTTGGTGAAAGAGGATGACAGCAGTGACGATGTGAGCAATCTTTTTCTGTTTACATCATCATCACGGAAACTGAAAACTTAAGATGTGAAGAAGCCAGATTGGTGATGTGTTTCCCACTGGGATCAGTGCATTGTTAACACTCCACCAGTCTGGTTACCTTCACTTGAAATGTATGTGTTTAATTGACGCAAAAATATCCACCTCCTTCAGTGTATAAGTGCTCCCTGTGATGGAAATACATTGTGTAGTAAGGTAGTGTATTACACTCCCTCCCCAATTGTAATTGTCTCTTTAAGGTGATGGCTTTTTATCTGCTCTCCTGGACATGCTGAGAGTCACTTACATGGTACCAGTAATCAAGGTGGCCATCTTCATCTGTGAGCCTGAACACGGGGAACCCGCTGTGGAGAAGCTGGTAATCAGCAATAGGAAGTTACCCAGAGATATTTGCCAATTTACTAATTGTGTTGTTCCTCTCTCCCTGACTGAGGTCAGGTTACTCTGCAGACCAGCGAGATCTCTGTAAGGCTCCATTTCAGCATTTACCGACCAAGCCTTTCTTAGTGAATGTGTAGTTTTGTTTAAGCTCTCACTGCTCCTGTTAATGACAAAGCAAAGCTAGCTCCTATACTGACTGAAGTCAAACTCATTCTTGATTTCTTCTACAGAAAACTGAATTCTCAGTGAAAAACGTACAGGTTCGAGGGGGTTACATCCTCCACATCGGGACAGTTTACGGGCACCTGAAAGTAGGGGATCAAGTTCATCTCTTCATCGATGAGGTAATGTTCTGACAGACATTATTTAAAATCTGGTAGTTTGATGCGAGGCTGCAAAGGTTAAACAGGTGTTGACTTGAGCTACTAGGTTTATACAATAACTGATTGATTATTTATTGTGGTATATTTATTGTACAGCAAGTTTAATATAGGGCCAGTTGGATTTGGAAACTTTCAATATCAATTTTAAAAACTTAGCAATTTTACAACCATTAATATTGACGTTTATTTTGCCTTTATACAATTTTTCATCTACATAAATGACTGCTTCCGGGTATAGGTCATCACTGATGTCACTTCCTGACCATCACATCAGGAACCTAAATGTTATTGACAAGTAAACATGTGCAACAGGCAAGAAGTGGTGCAGGGAAGTGGCCAGTTTTGGAGTCCAAAATAGTATAATTTTTGAAAATTTTAACAGAGAATTCATTTTGCCCAATCTGAAGACAATTTGAAATTCTGTCAAATACTGTTTATTTCTCTGAATTAAAATTAGAATCCGATGATCTTAAATATTATCAAACACACATAACTTTAAATTGCCGCAAATCAGTTTGAGCAAATAATCCTTAATTCTGTGAGAAATGTACACAAATGGTTTATGCCTCTCCTGTGAAGAAGCGAGTTGTGCGCATTGAATAGTTTAAACACTCCTGTATACTGTATAGCAACCTGTCAGAGCACCTCCCTACACAAGCTGCGGACCATCAAATGCAAAGATTTTTATTATATCCTAGTCTTGTTGGTGATGTTAGGTCTCACTTCGGCCACACATCTCCCTCCACTGCCTCCTCGAGCCCCTTGTTTTCTCCCTGACTGCCCACAGCAGAGGCAGCTTTTGCAAAGTCTCTCTATCTGTGACCAGGGCTCCCTCTGCCTCCTCATCCTCCTGGATCTCTCTAGGCGTCCGGTTCGACCCCCACTATCCTTTCTCCCCCACACCTGGTCCTTGACCTGGACCACCTTCTTCCACCTCCACCACGTTGTCCGCCTCCAACCAAACCTAACCACAACTGCAACCAAAACCTTCATGCCATGTATTTATCACCTCGCATCTGAATTACTCCAACGCACTCCTCGCTGGTCTCCCCAACTCCACCATTCAAAAGATCCATACTGCCCGCAAACTGACCTGGACCAAACTATGAACCTACATCTCACCAGTTCTGGCCCAAGCTCCACTGGCTCCCCGTCACCAAATGGATTAACTTCAAAATCCTCACGCTCGTGTTTAAATCCATTCCCTCCCTGGCACCTCCCTCCCTCTCCCACCTCCTCACTCCCCAATCCACCACCCGGCGCCTCCACTCGACTGGCACCGGCCTCCCTCTGCCCCATCGGAGGTTGCGCTTTCAGCCACTACTCCCCAAAACCCTGGAACACTCTCACTCAATCCCTCCACCTTGCCCCCTCTCTCCCCTCTTTCAAGTCCCCCCTGAAAACTTTCCTCTTCAACCGTGCTTACGGCCATCTTCCCCCGGCTCGGAGTCAGGCTCCACCACTGTAAAGTGCTCTGAAACGCTGCCCTGTGTGGAGGGTGGTGTATAAATGCAAGTTGTTGTTGATGTTAGTGTCAATATCCTTCCTTTAGAAGAAGTTTTGTGCCAATCAATTAATCCCAAGTTTTTTTATTACTAGATTATTATTTTGCTAAACTGTGTGCAGTGTGTGTGAATATATGTCAGTCATGTGGAGCACATCAAGATAATAATAATAATAATCCTTGCATTTGATATAGCACTTTTCACCTCTTCTCAACGTCTCAAAGCGCTTCTTCAGAATAGACAGAAGATGAGCTGCAACAGGAAAAAAGGAAAAGTCCTGAGGGAAGGAAGCTTCAGAGTTCTGGATGATCTGCAGTTTGTGGAAGGAAGAGTTAGGAAGACTCACAAGCAGGGAGTTGGTGTAGTTGAGCCTAGATGTAATGAAGGCATGTTTGAGGGTTTTGGCAGCCTGAAGGGTGAAGTAATGGCGGAGCCAGGCAATGTTGGGGAGGTGGGGGAAGACAGAGCAGGTCATGGCATGGATGTGGTGGAGAAAGGATAGTTGAGGGTCATACAAGACACCAAGGTTTCTGACTGGCTCAGTGAGGTGGAGTGTGGATCCACAGATGCACGTGTTTAGAACTTTATTGCAACATGAGAATCGCTCTCGCAGATTGGCACAAAGAGGCACTTCAGTTCTGAAAGATTTCCAGTAGAAAGATCATCTGTAGCAACGTGGGAAAGACTCCTCTAATTGTGCTCAGTGTTTGTGTTTTAGGCCAGAAGACGACCAATCATGAGTAACCACACCAGCACCCACATCCTGAACTTCAGCCTGCGCTCCGTGCTGGGGGAGGCTGACCAGCGAGGGTCTCTCGTCGCACCAGACAGGCTCCGCTTCGACTTCACAGCCAAAGGAGCAATGAGCACTCAGGAGATCAGACAAACAGAGGAGATTACAAACAGAATCATCCAGGAGGGCAAGGTGAAGCTCTTTGTCATCTCCAACATCGGTGGTTATAAGATCGTCATAAGAAACATAGCAACAGGAGTAGGCTATTCAGCCCCGAGCCTGGTCCCTCATGTTATAAGATCATGGCTGATCTGTCACTCAAGACCAGTTACCCGCCCTTGCCCCATTATCCCTTATGAGGGTTATAAGCACTCTTGAGATGGTGATCCTCGATGAAATACACATTGGTGACCTTCAGTGCATATTGGTGATCTTATTCAATTGCTCTTTAATTGTGATTCTGTAGAAGTATATAAGAAAGCAAATGAGGCTGAGAAAATGGCTGGTTTAGCTTCTGATTAATCCCTTTTCACGGATGTGCAATAACTTTGTGTGTTCCCTTGTAGCCTATTTATTCCAAAGACACTCCACTGGCTGTTGCCAAAGCAATACAAGGTCTGCGTGCTGTATTTGATGAGACATACCCTGATCCGGTGAGAGTGGTATCTGTTGGGATCCCAGTGGAAGACATGTTGGCTGACCCATCTGGCCCAGCGGGCTCCGTCACGTCAGTGGAATTCTGTGGCGGAACGTGAGTCTATTAAGTGACAATAAATAACGGGGGTGGGGGAGTGGGGGTGAAAGTGCTGTACTGGGGGAGGTTATTTACTGTTGGAGACCACTCTGAACTCTCAAACCCCTGATCTGAACGTTTTCTTCAGAGCATTTTTTAGCTCTTTCAAATGATAACCAACATGGGCTGTGGTTTAAAATCGTAAATAAGAGAAATTTGTTTAATTCCCCCTCCCTCCATAGAATCACATGGTGCATCGAGGTAATCAATGCTTGGGAACCTTGCAATTCAATTCTATTCACACCTGAAACATCCCGAGATACATAAAAGTGAAGGAGCAAAATAAAAGACCTGGATATTGTGTCCGTCAAGTTCAGAATTAAATGAGGCTTCAGATAGTTTAGCTTCCTGATACTGTTTTGAAAGCTCTCCATCGTCCAGACGTGAAGCACAGTTTATTGAAACAGTGAAGCATCTAAGAGCCATGATTAGCAAGAATTGATCTCACACTATGGAGGGTTGGAATGAGAATGCAGTCATCAGAATCCCACCTTCTCCCTGTGACTAAGTGATGGGTGTGTTTCTCACAGTCACCTGCAGAACGCTGGCCACGTTGGCTCGTTTGTGATTGTGTCGGAGGAAGCTATTGCCAAAGGCATCCGGAGGATAGTCGCTGTCACAGGGCCCGAGGCTCAGAAGGTCAGTGTGCATCAGTTTAATCTGTATCACCAGCAACAGGTATTTATTTCTACGTATGTTCAGAGACCGAGAATACGAGTCTAAAACTAACCAGACTTGAGACTGGATTAAACTGTTCACCCCAGTGGAGAGCAGTCGCATGGAATACAGTTCACGCTGATTATCCTGCTGGGATAATACGCTGGAGGAATAGTGTATTTACAGTTGGGTTTGTGGTTATTTAGAGAAATGATTGAGTGTGGTAGAACACAAGGTCCTGAGCTGCTGGGCCTTTGTGTGCACAGCTAAACAAGTGAATTCCGGAAGTCGTTGCCTAAAGAGATATTTCACAAAACTATTTTCTTGGAGATTTTACGTGTCCTCATAGTTGCCTAGAGAAGAGCTTTACTTGGGTTGGGTCAATGGTGGGGCAAATTGTAGTTTTGTAGCCGGGGGATTGCAGGCACTCAGTCTCTGACATGGACTCGCTCACTGCCTCCTGTATATATCCTAGGTCCTCACACAATCCCTCTTGCTAAAGCTTGGTATGTGGGTGCTGCCTTTTGGATACTGTGACTGACTTGCTATCTCGTATATTTTTTCTTTGCCTCTTGTGTGGGATGATGTCCCCTTTCTACTGAGAGAAACATCAGCAGCAGTTTTGCAGAGTGAATGTGAGTGGGACTGGGCTCCAGCAGAGTTGCCGGGAGAGTGTGTAGGACAGTTTCTGAAGCCTTGTGTTGGCTGTTTACAGGCTCTGAGAAAGGCGGAGGCTCTAGAAAAGGCTCTGGTTGCCCTGGGCTCAAAGGTCCACGGCCAGACCGCTCCCAACAAGGAAATACAGAAAGAGATTGCGGACCTCACAGAGGTAAACCTGTTGTGCACCTGTTTATTTAATCCATTATAATGGGCATTTAGACTGTGCTGTCTGGTATATTTAATAATTGACCATGTATTTAGTCAATCAATAATCAATGCTCCATTCATGTTTAATCAGTTTTTAGCAGTAAATCATTATCCTTGCATTTGATTTAGAGCTTTTCACATCAAGACTTTGTCTCAAATTGCTTTCTCAGGATGTACTGCAAAATGTTGTGATTGTGTATGTGTGGGCAAACGTTGTGTATTTAATTTGTAATTTATAAATGATTTTACAATTACATTAGTTTAGGGTAATGCTCCATATTATAGTTAATTCACAATTTGACTAAACTGCTTATTGAACCTGGCTCAGTAACCCAAAAGGAGAGACCTGAGTTTGATTCCCGGCAGGGCGAAACATTAGGCAAGTTTCCTTTCTCCACACGCCTCTGTTAGAGATTGGCAGATCGCTTTTCTGGGGTTAATAATTCCTTCAAAAAAATAAAAACAATAATAAGTTGGTCACTAGTTATTTATGTATTTAAGCATTTATTTATTTAGTTATTTAGTCAGTATGTCTGTATATTATTACCACATTGTTACCAAGACTCAACAATAATAAGAAGAAATTGGTCACTTCAATCCACGACTGTTTGTGGGACGCTGCTGTGCGCAATTGACTGCTGCGTTTCGCCCATAAATATACAGTCAATTCACATTACAGTATATTCAGTGAAACGCTTTGAGACGTCTAGAAGACATGATAAGGCGCTCTATCAAATGCAAGGATTATTATTATTATTTGTCACCTCCCACCTCGATATTTCTAATGCCCTTCTTGCCGGTCTCTCCAGCTCCACCCTCAAACATCCAATTGATTCAGAATTCCGGCTCTGTGTTCTCATCCTCCTCACCGCCATCACCCCAGTTCTTGCCTGGCTCCCTTTGCAGAACAGAACAATTTCAGGATCTTTACACTCCCTTGTAAATCACTTCACACCCTGGCACCTACCTATCTCTCCCACCTGCTCACATCTCGCTGCTCTACCCACCCCCTTCGGTCAGCTGGCTCCAGCCTCCTGCTTGTACCTCGCCCCCTCCACTCTGCCATCGATGGCTGTTCTTTCAGCCACTACGTCCCCAAACCTTTGGAACTCCAATGCAGATTGGAATATTTCTACTCTAGACGGGTGCAATTTGTCTTTTCCAGTGTGTCCAGTTTACATTACCTTGCAGGTGTTGCTATTGTGGATATTTAAAGCACTTTTGTTCATATTCACCAAATGGTAAATTATCCCACACTGTCTGACAGACCTGACTTCCACTTCCTGCAGATGATTGGCACAGCTGTCATTCCTCAGTGGCAGAAGGATGAAATGAGGGAGAAACAGAAATCACTAAAGAAGGTGATGGATGATCTGGACAGAGCCAGTAAAGCTAACACACAGAAGAAGGTGAATAATCCAATCATTCCCGGGTTTATCAGATGGCCATCTCCATTCATATCCAGAATTTGTCAGGAATCCTTCCTTGTATTCCGCTTGTGCAGAGCCCCACCTGAGGCCTGCACATCACTGTCTTATACAATAACATCTTGTCATTGGACAGGATACGGTGAAGGGCAACTGAATTGAAAGCTGGGGCTTGGTACTTAAATGTAAATGAAGAACCTGGGAATATTCACACTGAGGAACAGAAGGTTTACAGGAGGACATAGTGAAGTATTTAAGATGCTATAGTGCATAGTTAAGCTGAACCTGAATAATGTTTAATATGGTTTCAACCTATACAGTCTGGCTCAGCTTTCCCCTCCCCACTTGTCTTGTCAAAGCACTCGACACTGCGAGCCGGGCATTGGAGTTAAAGGGGGAGGGGAAAGAGGATGGTCAGCTTGGGCAAAGAGGTATGTTTGAGATGTATCTTGAACGAGGCAAGGGAGCGAGAGAGTCAGAAGCATCCACCATGACGCTCCAGAGAGCAACAGCTGAAAGCCCACCCATTGATTGTGGGCCGGGGGGGACATGAAGCAGGCAAATTGGCTGCCTTGATTGACTACAAACTTCACAGTCACTACACTTTACAGTTAAAAAAAATCCTGTGAAGCACTTTGAGATATCCTCCCAATTTGAATGGGGCTATAACCTATACAAATGCAAGGACCGATCAGTTAAAGAGAATCCCAGAATAATAATCAGGCCATTCAGTACTTTTCTCCCATTGAACCATTCCAGTCCCAACATAGACTAATGCCAATAATGAGTTGGCTCGTGATGTTATCACTTTGAATGTAACGTATCAGTATTTCATTCTCAGGTGCTGGACAAGACCAAGCAGTTGATAGAGAGCAATCCCAACCAGCCTCTAGTTGTCATGGAACTGGAAGCGGGAGCTTCGGCTAAGGTAATAATAATAAGTGCCTTCTGGCTATTACACAGTGATTTAAACTAGCTGCAAATGGGATTCTGTCAATACAGGTTAAAGGTCCATTCAATCTGTACAATCATGAACAAAAGGCTGCAGGTGCTGGAAATCTGAAATAAATACAGAAGTCATTGGGAGCACTCAGCAGGTCAGGCAGCGTCTATGGAGGGAAGGGATTTGAATGTAAGGATCCAGAAGGTCCTTACGTTCAATCTAGAAAACTTTTATTCCCAACTCTGAACCTTCAGCATTCACAGGCACAAGACCACTTTGGAGAGATTGCCGACCCTTGAGATTGCCCCAATCAGTCTCCGCCTTGCCCTTGCTACTTTTCATATAACTGTAGTTTTCTTTTGGATAATTGCACTTTAGCCAGTTAATTAACTAAAATGCTCAGAACCCTGTGTGCCTTGGGATGCTGTGGTTAATCACTGCTTTTATTGTTCACTGGAAGGTAATCTGATTTATGCTGCGTTCTCACCAGGTCCTGAATGAAGCTCTGAAGCTGTTTAAGACGACTTCCCCACAAACGGCAGCAATGCTGTTTGCTGTGGACAGCGAGGCAGGAAGGATCACATGTTTGTGTCAAGTCCCCCAGGTAACACTGTGTTTAAAGTGGCAGAGAGCTCCAGAGCATGTGTGCACAACAATAACAAACAACCACTTGTATTTACACAGCGCCCCTCGCACAGAGTAGCAACCCAGAGCGCTTGACACTGATGGAGCACGATGTTGAGCCAGGGTGAGGAGAAGGTGACCATAGGTCAAATAGAAAGGTCTTCAGGCGCAACCTGAAGATGGGGAAGGAAGGTGTAAGGCGGAGGGATAGAGGAAGAGTGTTCCAGATTTACAGGACTTGTGACATGGGGAGCAGCTCCGTGCCCTGCCCAGTACTTTGGCTTTAGAGCTATCAAATTGCCACAGTTAAATAATAATAATAATAATCCTTGCATTTGATATAGCGCTTTTCACGTCGGGAGGACATCCCAAAGCGCTTCACAGAACACACTGTAAAGTGAATTGACTGTATATTTGTGGGCGAACGCGGCAGCCAATTGCGCACAGCAATGTCCCACAAACAGTCATAGATTGAAAATGACCAATTTAATTATTGTTTTTGGTTTTGGAGGGATTATTATTAGGCTCTGTGTGGAGTAAGGAAACTTGCCCAAGGTTTCGCCCTCTGCCTGGAATTGAACTCAGGTCTCTCACTTGCAAAGCGAGTGCTCTAACCACTGAGCTACAGGACTCCACGGGACTCTACAGGACTCTAAATAAATAGAACAATGATACAGATCAGCCTGTGAGTGGTTTACAGTTTCCAAATGGATACTTGAACATGAGTTACAGACTGGAATTAAATCAGAAGTTTAGCTGGTCTCTGCAGTACAGAGAATAACTACAACCCAGAAGTCATTTATGAGCTGGAGTCTGATTGTGGTGTTGATATATAATTGGAGCCGTTTATATATAAATTAACTACAGGGGATCCATAAATGGGGACACAATCTTAAAATTAGAGCTGAACTGGTCAAACTGAGGGCAAAAACATTGTTTCACATAAAAGGTGAGGAGTCCTGTAGCTCAGTGGTCAAGAAAAAAAATAATAAATTGGTCACTTAAATCCATGACTGTTTGTGGGACGCTGCTGTGCACAATTGGCTGCTGTGTTTCGCTCACAAAATATACAATCAGTTCACTTTGTAGCATATTCTGTGAAGCGCTTTGAGATGTCTCGAAGACGAGAAAAGCGCTCTATCAAATGTCAGGATTATTATTATAGAATGTGAAATGCACTTTCCCAAAAAGCTGTAGCTTCAAACTCCATTGGGGATTGTTATGAAGAACTTTTCTATCCTCCTTTGGAGGGAGGAGGGGGAATAAACAGGACTTACATGAACTTCCTGCTCGTAACTGAATGGCCTCCTTCTGTGCTGTATAATTGTGTGATTCTGTGAACTGGTTGCTTCTTTCCATGTTCGGCATCAGAATGCCGAAATCGGGCCCCCGCCCCCCCCCCCCCCCCCCGTGACGGTCCGGTTGCTGAGTCAGGCGGGTCCACAGTATTCCAGTGTACTCACTGCTGATGACAGCTGATCAGACCAGTCACTGGGAGCAGGGAGTCATCCCACACAGCTCCTGTTAGATAGGCAGAAAGTAGATTTTGTGTGTGTGTGTGTGTGTGGGGAGCGGGGGATGTACGTTGTGTAATTTCTCCTTTTACCTCAATTTATAGGAAGTTGCCAGCAGAGGGTTGAAAGCCAACGAGTGGATTGGCCACATCTCAGGACTTCTGGACGGCAAAGGAGGAGGAAAGGACTTATCTGCACAAGCCACAGGGAAAAACATCAACTGCCTGGATAAAGCACTAAACCTGGCCACTGAGTTTGCTAAACTTAAATTAGGAGGCATCAAAAACTAACCATTTACAAAGTTGACTTTAGCAGCCAATTAATATTGCTTAATAACCCTGTGGGAATGCTGGGAATACTGTCCTGTACCTGGGGTGGGTGTAACACTGTCCACGTACCTCTCTCTCCCTGCAGAAGTCATGATCACGTTAAACTTAACTGTTCTGTTTCCTGTGATAGTTATTAATAAAATAGAAGCAAAGGAACCAATGACAGTGTATTATTATTTATTAACCACGATTAAAAATAATAATCTGAAGTTCAACTATCTCATTGATAACATGTTTATTAATGACTCCTGCAGCTCAGTCCCTTTATCCTGGTGACTTCCTGGCTGTTGACTCGTACATAATCCCTAATTTTCTCCAATCCCCTGCGCCATTTCCAGTGTCAGCCTTGCCGGCTGACAGCAAATCCCTTCGGTAAAAGTGTGCTCACATCTCAGGCACACTGGGATACAGGAATAAAGTAAAACGTGCCTCAAGGCATGGAGAGAGCCGGAACGGGAATTACTGACACTTAAAGGCCTCTGTGTACCTCTGTCACTGGGGGAGGCCTCACGGGGAGGCTGCACGGAGAGCGAAGGGAGTGCCAATAATGCCCTTTCCCACAGTTGCAAAAACCTGGCTCTGCCACTGGCTCTGGGTGTAAAGGTTCCTGGTGCGATTGCTCTGCTCCTGTGTACCCGCCCGCAGCGGAAACGTCTCACACACAGCGGGGCGGCCTTGCACGTGGCTGGGGATGGGTGCCTGGTGGTCACCACACACAGTCACTACACTGTACTGTGAATCCTGTCAAGTGGAGCAGCCGGCATCTGGTCACAGTGGGGGAGAGTGTGACCTGATTGTGTTACACTCTATGTGAGAAAGTGGCTGTGGGCGGGTCCCTCAATTTCGCATACAAAATACAGTCGGAATTCAAGATCCTCATCCTCACCTATAAGGCCATTCCCGGCCTCGCTCCCTCCTCCCTCTCTGACCTACTATCCCCCCACGTACCCCCCGTACCCTCCGTCCCTCGGGCTCCGGTCGGCCCCCCATCCCCCGCCCCAACCGCCCGACCATCGGTGGCCTTCAGCCTCTCAGCCCCGAGGCTCTGGAACTCTATCCCCAGTGCCTTCGCCGCCTCCTCCCTTTCCTCCTTTAAGGCCGGTCTCAAGACCTTTCTCTTTGACCTTCAGCTCCGCTCTCGACTCTCTACCCCCCCCCCTCCCCCTGACCATCCCCCCTCCCCCCCTCCCCCTGACCATCCCCCTCCCCCCCTCCCCCCCTCCCCCTGACCATCCCCCCCCTCCCCCTGACCATCCCCCTCCCCCCCTCCCCCTGACCATCCCCCCCCCTCCCCCTGACCATCCCCCCCTCCCCCTGACCATCCCCCCTCCCCCCCCCTCCCCCTGACCATCCCCCCCTCCCCTGACCACCCCCCCTCCCCCCCTCCCCCTGACCATCCTTCCCCTGACCATCCCCCCCCTCCCCGACCATCCCCCCCCTCCCCTGACCATCCCCCCCTCCCCTGACCATCCCCCCCTCCCCCTGACCATCCCCCCCCCCCTCCCCCCTGACCATCCCTCCCCCCCCTCCCCCTGACCATCCCCCCCCCCCCCTCCCCCTGACCATCCCCCCCCCTCCCCGACCATCCCCCCTCCCCCTGACCATCCCCCCCCTCCCCCTGACCATCCCCCCCCACCCCCCCTCCCCCTGACCATCCCCCCCTCCCCCTGACCATCCCCCCCTCCCCCCCTCACCATCCCCCTCCCTCCCCCCTGACCATCCCCCTCCTCCCCCCCTCCCCCTGACCATCCCCCCTCCCCCTGACCCTCCCCCCTCCCCATGACCATCCCCCCTCCCCTGACCATCCCCCCCTTCCCCCTGACCATCCCCCCCTCCCCCGACCATCCCCCCCTCCCCCTGACCACCCCCCCTCCCCCCTGACCATCCCCCCCTCCCCCCTCCCCCTGACCATCCCCCTCCCCCTGACCATCCCCCCCTCCCCCTGACCATCCCCCTCCCCCCCTCCCCCTGACCATCCCCCCCCTCCCCCTGACCACCCCCCCCCCTGACCATCCCCCCCCCTCCCCTGACCATCCCCCCCCTCCCCCCCTCCCCCTGACCATCCCCCCCCTCCCCCTGACCATCCCCCCCCTCCCCCTGACCATCCCCCCCTCCCCTGACCATCCCCCCTCCCCCCCCTCCCCCTGACCATCCCCCCCTCCCCCTGACCATCCCCCCCCTCCCCCCTGACCATCCCCCCTCCCCCTGACCATCCCCCTCCCTCCCCCCTGACCATCCCCCCCTCCCCCTGACCATCCCCCCCCTCCCCCCTGACCATCCCCCCCTCCCCCCCTCCCCCTGACCATCCCCCCCCTCCCCTGACCATCCCCCCCTCCCCCTGACCATCCCCCTCCTCCCCCCCTCCCCCTGACCATCCCCCCCCTCCCCCTGACCATCCCCCCTCCTCCTGACCACCCCCCCTCCCCCCTGACCAGCACTGTGCGGGGAGGGGAGGGGAGGCCGCGCGGGGGCGCTGTGCGGGGAGGGGAGGCCGCGCGGGGGCGCTGTGCGGGGAGGGGAGGGGAGGCCGCGCGGGGGCGCTGTGCGGGGAGGGGAGGGGAGGGGAGGCCGCGCGGGGGCGCTGTGCGGGAGGGGAGGGGAGGGGAGGCCGCGCGGGGGCGCTGTGCGGGGAGGGGAGGGGAGGGGAGGCCGCTCTCGGGTGTCAGGCCGCTCACACACGCTCCAGATGCCGGTTGACACGAAGCGGCTCCGGGGGCCCGAGGAGTCCCAGTCTCCGCTGCTGTTCGCGCGGCCCGAGGCGGGCAGTGGGCGGGGCGCGGGGGCCTGGCAGCCGCTGCCGCGGGGAGACGGGCGCTCGGCCGCCGAGCCCAGGCCGGTGTTCGCGCGGGCCGGGCTGCTCAGCCAGGCTGACGGCTCCGTGTACGCCGAGTGCGGCCGCAGTAAACTGCTGTGCGCTGTGTATGGGCCGCGGGAGAGCGAACGCAAAGAGGAGCGCAGTATGAGCCGCGCCAACCTGCTGTGTGAACTCAGGTACAGGGGGGCGGGGGGCGGGGGGGGCGTACACACACACCACCGGGGGCACAGGCCCCTCCCGGGCCTCCCTCGCCCACAGAGCGGGGGTGGGTCTGGGCCCCAGGGGACGGGGTCTGGAGGAAGGGCAATGTGTCTGCCGTTGGGAGGGGAAGGATCTGGGGTGGGGGAGGGGGTTTCGGGGTGGGGGTGGGGAGGGGGTTCGGGGTGGGGGTGGGGAGGGGGTTTCGGGGTGCCGGGTGGGGAGGGGGTTTCGGGGTGGGGGTGGGGAGGGGGGTTCGGGGTGGGGGTGGGGAGGGGGGTTCGGGTGGGGGTGGGGAGGGGGAGGGGGTTTCGGGGTGCCGGGTGGGGAGGGGGTTTCGGGGTGGGGGTGGGGAGGGGGGTTCGGGGTGGGGGTGGGGAGGGGGTTTCGGGGTGCCGGGTGGGGAGGGGGTTTCGGGGTGGGGGTGGGGAGGGGGGTTCGGGGTGGGGGTGGGGAGGGGGTTCGGGGGGGGGGGGGGGGGGGGGGGGGGTTTCGGGGTGGGTGGGGGGGAGGGGGTTTCGGGGTGCCGGGTGGGGAGGGGGTTTCGGGGTGCCGGGTGGGGAGGGGGTTTCGGGGTGGGGGTGGGGAGGGGGGTTCGGGGTGGGGTGGGAGGGGGTTCGGGGTGCCGGGTGGGGAGGGGGTTTCGGGGTGGGGGTGGGGGGGGGGGGTCGGGGTGGGGGGGGGGGGGGGGGGGGGGGGGGGGGGGGGGTGGGGAGGGGGTTTCGGGGTGCCGGGTGGGGAGGGGGTTTCGGGGTGCCGGGTGGGGAGGGGGTTTCGGGGTGGGGGTGGGGAGGGGGTTTCGGGGTGCCGGGTGGGGAGGGGGTTTCGGGGTGCCGGGTGGGGAGGGGGTTTCGGGGTGCCGGGTGGGGAGGGGGTTTCGGGGTGCCGGGTGGGGAGGGGGTTTCGGGGTGCCGGGTGGGGAGGGGGTTTCGGGGTGGGGGTGGGGAGGGGGTTTCGGGGTGCCGGGTGGGGAGGGGGTTTCGGGGTGGGGAGGGGGTTTCGGGGTGCCGGGTGGGGAGGGGGTTTCGGGGTGGGGAGGGGGTTTCGGGGTGCCGGGTGGGGAGGGGGTTTCGGGGTGGGGGTGGGGGTTTGAGAATCTCACGAAGCTCACACTGTCATGAGGTGAGGCTGTCACTTGGATTGGGGTTCAGTGCCTTATGTTCAGTTGTAGAAAAACTCCCAAAGGTTTTGTTTTAACGGTATTGAGTTACAAGTTATATTTACACAGCGCCTGTCACGACGAGAGGACATCCCAAGGCGCTGGACAGTCAAAGATTTGGATCTGAGCAGGACGTTGGGATCCCGAGGGGTGGAGGGCAGGGAGGATGGGAGCTCGGTGCGGTGAGAGGACACGAGCTGCAGAGTTCTGAATGATCTGCATCCTGTGGAGGGAAGAGTTGGGAAGGCTGGTTCGCGTGGTCAAGCCTGGATGTGATGAATGAACATTTAATCACAACAGTTTAACCGCCACTCGTGTGTAGAAAGATTGTTGACCAATGATCAATGAGGTGCCGTCTGTAAAATACCAAATTCAAAGAAACCTGTAATGTTGGTCCACAGTAAAGCAGGACAGTGAAAATGCTTAAAATAATAATTAATACATGTGATACAGCGTCTGTCACATCATCTCAAAACACTTCACAGGATTTACTAGAATGTGGAGTGACTGCATTTTGTACGCGAAAAAGCAGCCAATTTGCACGCAGCAATGTCCCGAACACAGCAATTAATTTTAATGATCAATTTTATTTGGGGATTGTTGGCCAGGACACCGGGAGAAATTACCTTCTCTTTTTGAATAGTGCTTTGACATCCACATGAACAGGCAAATTGGATTTTTAATGTCTCATCTCTTTAACGTTTCTTCTGAAGGATGAAACTTTTACACCAGATTAAAGCATTCTAAGGAATTCTGAGATGCAGAAAAGGAGTGGAGGCTGAAACATAAGGGAGCACAACAATAACATGGATACTGTTTGTCATGGGTTTTGTCTCAATAGCTTTTTCTCTTAATTTGCTGAGTTGTGTAACTGGGTGTGATGCTCACAGAGGGACAGGAACTGTTGGCTGCTCTTCTAGGCTTGTAGCTGGAGGCAAGTGAATCAGAAAAGGACCATTGGCGGGCAATGAGGAGGAGATTAGACACCAGTCTGTTGTTTGTCAAACCCAGTTTGTAAAACCTAGTGAGTTTACTTCCCTCCAGGTTTGCTCCGTTCTCCTGCAAGAAGCGGTCGGCCTGGATTCAGGGCAGCCTGGAGAAGGAATACTCATCCATCCTGGAGCAGAGCCTGCGGCCTGCGGTCTGCCTGCACAAGTACCCCCGGTCCCAGATCGAAGTCTACGTCATGGTTCTGGAGAATGATGGCTCCACTCTGGGCGCTGCTCTGACCTGCGCCTCCATGGCCCTGGCGGAGGCCGGCATTGAGATGTTTGATGTGGTGGTTGGCTGCTCCCTGCGGCAGGCGGGGGACGTTTCCCTCCTGGATCCCACAGCCCTTGAGGAGTACAATGCGGCCGACTGTAAGGGCATCAACAATGGCAGCCTGACTGTGGCGTTGCTTCCCACCCTTAACCAGATCTCCGGGCTGGTGTCGTCAGGCGAGTGGAAGGAGCAGATCTCTGTGGAGGCGATCAAAGCTTGTATCGAGGGCTGCCAGAAGCTTTACTCTGTGGTGCAGCAGTGTCTGACCCGATCAGTTAAGAAGCGGATCCCAGCTCCCGTCACCAAGAGTTAGGGGAATACATTGTCGGTCAGTCTGCAGCCGCCCTCCAGACTGACTCTCAATGATGCAGTTTCAAACCACCACATTTGTTTGAAATCGCCTTTGATGTGCCTTTGACAGAATTCAAGTCCTTGTTGAAGTATTTGGCTTTAGCTTAACCACATCTGCTTCTGTATTGTGCTTTGGTGACTGTGTATCTTGTGTATGGTCTGTGTAACTCAACTGCGTAAATTGCAGTTCCACTGGTGTGTCACAGATAGAGACCCCGGACACGATGTGAACCTCATCCAATCAGTGGACCTGACGGAGTCACTCACTCACTCACTCACTGTCAGGGGTCCGTCCTGTGACATCCACGCACAGCCTTAGGCACCTCGGTTCTGATCCAGCCCAGACGGTGAGGTCACCTTTGTTGACCAGCTGTAAATACATAAAGGGGATTTGAGGCTGTTATAGTCCATGTCCCAGTAAAGTTTGACCCACAGAGTGTTAATGTGACCCCAGGCCCACAAAGCTGGGTGGTGAAGGTGATGTGTGAATGCCCACAGGGCAGGAGGCGGTAAGATAAATCACTTTACTGGGCAGTGAAGAGGCAGCTAGGCTCTGTCTGTGTCAGCTGGATACTGGCACCGTGTTCACAGCACTGACTTGGCCACCAAATTCCCCCACCACCCCTCCATACTGAGTAAGTACACACAAGCAAAGTGGCCTCCCACCCCCATCCAGAGGCCAGGATCAACCACATTGTTATTTGGGATACCATTGTTGAAACATGCTGGAGAATCTTTTTGCTCTCTTCAAAACATCCTGGACTGAGGCGGTGGGGGCGAGGGGGAGGCTGTAGGTGGGTGTCGATGTGTCTGAGGTTCAGATCAGAGCTGCTGTGAGTAGAAGCTGTTCAGGATAGGTGCACTCCATTCAACACTGACTGAAATAACCATGTATATTTACAACACCTGATGAGTTTTATTTAGAGACTCTTAAGCATAGTGATGGCTTCCATGTGTGTCAGACACCTGGGTGACCAAACACACGTTCAGCTGATCTGCGCCAGTGAATTGGTGCAGCCAAAGCTGTTGTCAATCCTAAAATGCATTCCAACCTCATCCGCTCCCAATTTCACCTCCACTCTGAATTCACAAACATTTTCTACTCTAAAATGTATTTTTATATTTTCTGGAATCAGTTTAAGAACTAAAATAAATGTGTGAGAGCTGCAGTTAATCTGTACATGTCTGCTCAGTGCCCTGCGGTCAGACCCTGTACAATGCATTCCACTGTGTAACTGAGCAGAGGTCTTACTCGCTCAGAGATAGAAACAGTTGTTGATTAATTAAAGGTAGAAACGTTTGCATTTCTTTGTTGATTTGTCCTTCTGTGCCCTGGTCATGTTTCCCTTTCATAACATAAGAACATAAGCATTAGGAGCAGGAGTCGGCCATTCGGCCCCTCGAGCCTGTGCCCCGCCATTCGATAAGATCATGGCTGATCTTCAGACCTAACTCTAATTACCTGCCCTCTCCCCATATCCCCCAATCCCTCTATTGTTTAAAAATCTATCAGTCTCAGCCTTGAAGATGTTCGAGGACTGACATCTACAGCCTTCTGGGGAGTGAATTCCATAAGTTCACTGCCCTCTGAGTGAAGAAATGTTTCCTCAACTCTGATCTAAAAGACTGAGCCTTAATTTTCAGACTGTGACCCCCGGTTATAGATTCTCCCACCGGGGAAACAGTCCCTCTGTGTCTACTTTATCCGCCCTTTAAGAATCTATTAAATTATTGGAGGGATTATTACTAGGCTCTGTGTCGAGTAAGGAAACTTCCCCAAGGTATCACCCTCTGCCTGGAATTGAACTCAGGTCTCTCACTTGCAAAGCGAGTGCTCTAACCACTGAGCTACAGGATTCCAAAACAATCCCTCCAAAACAAAACAATAATAAATTGGTCACTTCAATCCACGACTGTTTGTGGGACATTGCTGTGCACAATTGGCTGCTGCGTTTCGCCCACAAATATACAGTCAATTCACTTTACAGTATATTCTGTGAAGTGCTTTGAGACGTCGAGAAGACATCAAAAGCGCTATATCAAATTCAAGGATTATTATTATTATATACATCCACAGCCTTATCCTTATCAAGCTCCCTTGTCACACCATCAAAGAAAATCAGTAAATTAGATTGACAAGAACTTCCCTTCATGAACCCATATTGACTGTCATTTATGATTTTATTTCTGTCCGTATGGTCGTGATTTTATCCTTAATACAAGTCTCTATAATTTTAAGCACATTGGATGTCAGACTTATTAGTCTGTAGTTTCCTTGGTCACTTTTGTTACCTTTCTTAAAAATAGGAGTAACATTTACCTTTCTCCCAAACAACATTTTCCACTCCATAATTGAAAAGGTTTCACCTTTATTCTCAGTTCACAGCCTCCGCTTTCTGTCTTCAATCGTCTCTGGGCTTTAACCCTCCAGGTGATTGCCATTGGATCTTGATCACTTGATTTACATCCAACAATAATCACCTGTTTTACATCTGAATCTATATAACAACGAGATGTACTGTACTGTAAAGTGCAATAATGGGTACCTTGTGGATAATAATAATAATAATAATCCTTGCATTTGATATAGCGCTTTTCACGTCGGGAGGACGTCCCAAAGCGCTTCACAAAACACACTGTAAAGTGAATTGACTGTATATTTGTGGGCGAACGCGGCAGTGACCACTTTTATTTAGGGCCAGAACACCAGGAGAGAGAAAATCCCTTCTCTTTCCGAATAGTGTCATGGAATCTTTTAACGTCCTCCTGAACAGGTAGATGGGACCTTGGTTTAACACCAACTTAGATGGTAGGTATAAAGTCCCAAACAGACTTAAACCTACAACCTTCTGACTTGGTTTCAGCATCTCCTGGACCTTGAACACTGCAGCCCTCCCACTGCACTGGCCTGAGGTATCAGCCTGGATTCAGAGCTGCATCTTTAACATCCACCTGAGCAGGAAGATGGGACCTTCCTTTAACATCTCATCTGATGGATGGCAGCTCCGACAGTGTGGTGCCTCTCCAACTGCACAGGCTGACACACAATAATAATAATCCTTGCGTAATAGTAAACATCACGTCTTCGAGACACTTCACAGAATAGACTATAAAGTGAATTGAATGTATATTTTGTGGGTGAACTGCGGCGGCCGATGGTGCACAGCAGCGACTGTCCCACAAACAGTCGTGAATTAAAATGACCAATTTTTTTAAGCAATTATTAATCCTGGAAAAGTGATCCACTAATCAGTGTGTGTGTGGGGGGGGGGGGGGGGCGGGGCTGTGGAGGGGCGGGGCTGGGTGTGGGGGGGCGGGGCTGGGGGCGGGGCTGTGGAGGGCGGGGCTGGGTGTGGGGGGGGGCGGGGGCTGGGGGGCGGGGCTGGGTGTGGGGGGGGCTGAGTGGGGGGGGCGGGGCTGTGGGGGCTGAGTGGGGGGGCGGGCGGGGGGGCGGGGGGGGCTGAGTGAATAGTAATGGCGGCGCCGAGTAAGCGACTGAAGGTTTGTGAGCAGCCGAGAGCCCCCCCCCCCCCAGTCGGGCTGGGCCTCCCCCCCCCCCCCCCCAGTCGGGCTGGGCCTCCCCCCCCCCCCCCCCCCAGTCGGGCTGGGCCTCCCCCCCCCCCCCCCAGTCGGGCTGGGCCTCCCCCCCCCCCCCCCAGTCGGGCTGGGCCTCCCCCCCCCCCCCCAGTCGGGCTGGGCCTCCCCCCCCCCCCCCCCCCCCAGTCGGGCTGGGCCTCCCCCCCCCCCCAGTCGGGCTGGGCCTCCCCCCCCCCCCCCCCCCCAGTCGGGCTGGGCCTCCCCCCCCCCCCCCCCCAGTCGGGCTGGGCCTCCCCCCCCCCCCCCCCCCCAGTCGGGCTGGGCCTCCCCCCCCCCCCCCCCCAGTCGGGCTGGGCCTCCCCCCCCCCCCAGTCGGGCTGGGCCTCCCCCCCCCCCAGTCGGGCTGGGCCTCCCCCCCCCCCCCCCCCCCAGTCGGGCTGGGCCTCCCCCCCCCCCCCCCAGTCGGGCTGGGCTTCCCCCCCCTTTCCAGCTTATTTCACAAACACCTTGTTTGCCTGTGTGTGTGTGTGGGGGGGGGGTCTGTGTGTGTGTGTTTGACTGTGTGTGTGTGTGTGGGGGGGGGGTGGTGGTGGTCTGTGTGTGTGTGTTTGACTGTGTGTGTGTGGGGGTGGTCTGTGTGTGTGTTTGCCTGTGTGTGTGTGTGGGTGGGGGGGGGGGGTGGTGGTGGTCTGTGTGTGTGTGTTTGCCTGTGTGTGTGTGTAGGTGGTCTGTGTGTGTGTTTGCCTGTGTGTGTGTGTGGGGTGGGGGGGGGGGGGGTGGTGGCGGTCTGTGTGTGTGTGTTTGCCTGTGTGTGTGTGTAGGTGGTCTGTGTGTGTGTGTTTGACTGTGTGTGTGTGGGGGTGGTCTGTGTGTGTGTTTGCCTGTGTGTGTGTGTGGGGTGGGGGGGGGGGGGGGGTGGTGGTGGTCTGTGTGTGTGTGTTTGCCTGTGTGTGTGTGTGGGGTGGGGGGGGGGGGGGTGGTGGTCTGTGTGTGTGTGTGTGTCTGTGTGTGTGGAAGCCCTGGGCTGACCTGCACCCGCAACAGCACATCCACAGCCCTACACCAGTCACGGGGGGCGGGGAATCCTCCCCCTCCGCTCCTGTGTACCCCACAGCCAAAGCCCTAACTAACTAACGAATGGGGAAGGGGGTCCGAGCTGGACACGCAGCGCTCTCTCTCTCTCTCTCTCTCTCTCTCTCATGGCCGAGCTGTGTGTGGGTTTAGCCGGTCAGACCCCCGCAGTTACCCCAACACACACTCGGGGCTCCCCCCACCCCAAAGCCTTGGCTCAGGCCAACCTGTGCCTAATACTTTGTGGAATGAGGTAAACAGGATACATCCCTCCAGAGAGAGCGCATTCCATTCCATCAATCTATCTCTGGGATTTCCATGTGTGGGTGGGATGTATGGAATTCTCAGCTTGGTTTGGTTTGGAGATTCTTGGTGATGGGTTTCTGCGTGTGTCAGACACCCGGCTGACACCCCCCCCAAAAATTAAAATATTCAGAGCCCTTTCCCCCATCGTGTCTGTGCTGGGGCTCGCTCCCCCACTGGAGCTCTCTGATCTCTCTCCCTGTGTCTGTGCTGGGGCTCGCTCCCCCACTGGAGCTCTCTGATCTCTCTCCCTGTGTCTGTGCTGGGGCTCGCTCCCCCATTGGAGCTCTCTGATCTCTCTCCCTGTGTCTGTGCTGGGGTTCGCTCCCCCATTGGAGCTCTCTGATCTCTCTCCCTGTGTCTGTGCTGGGGTTCGCTCCCCCATTGGAGCTCTCTGATCTCTCTCCCTGTGTCTGTGCTGGGGCTCGCTCCCCCACTGGAGCTCTCTGATCTCTCTCCCTGTGTCTAAACACAACTGGTACCAGAGCCATTGTGCCAAAGTGTGTTCTGTGCACGTTGGCTACACGGGGAATGCTGGGGGGGATGTGAAACTGGTATATTGGGATGTAGGAAGCTTTGATTGTCCAAGGGGCTCCCGTTCTGGAGTGAAGCCCAGGGTGAGTCTGGCTCGAGCTGGGATAGTGAGGACAGGTGTACAGTGTGTGACTGACTGAGTGCTGATGTTCCTCTCTCTGTCTATAGATGGGCTGTGAGCACACTGACGCCGACACAGACTCCGCACTGAGCTGCTTCCTGCAGTGGTGTAAACGGGTCGGGCTGGAGCTGAGCAGGAAGGTGAGAGAGCAGTGTGATATTGTTGTTACAGTGGATGAAGAGAGAGATGAGCAGTCAAACAGGTTCCAGCCACACTCTATCCCTGATTCCTCCGATTCTCTCTCTCTCTCCCTGATTCTCGCTCTCTCGCCCTGATTCTCTCTCTCACTCTTGATTCTCTCTTGTTCCGTGATTCTCTCTCTCCCTGATTTCCTCGCTCTCTCTCTGATTCCATCTCTCTCTCTCCCTGATCCTCTCTCTCCCCTGATTCCCCCTCTCCTCTCTCTTTCCCTGATTCCCCTTCTCTCTCTATCCCTGATTCCCTCTCTCTCTCTCTCTCTCTCTCTCTCTCTCTCCGATTCCCTCTCTCTCCCTGATTCCCTCTCTCTCCCTGATTCCTTCTCTCTCTCTCCCTGATTCTCCCGCTCCCTGATTCTCTCTCTCTCCCAATTCCCTCTCTCCCGATTCCCTCTCTCTCTCTCCCCGATTCATTCTCTCACTCCCTGATTCATTATCTCTCCCTAATTCTCTCTCTCTCTTCCTGATTCTCTGTCTCTCCTGATTCCCTCTCTCTCTCCCTGATTCTCTCTCTCTCCCTGATTCCCTTTCTCTCTCTCTCCCTGATTCCCTCCCTCTCGTTCCCTGATCCTGGTCCTCACCTACAAAGCCCTCCATGGCCTCGCCCCACCCTACCTCTGCGACCTCCTAACCCCTTATCAACCCGCCCGTTCCCTCCGCTCAGCCGGCTCCGGCTGCTCCACGTCCCCCAACCCACCATTGGCGGGAGAGCCTTCAGTCACTCTGCCCCCAACCTCTGGAATTCCATCCCCCACTCACTCCGCCTCAATCCTTCTTAGCCTCCTTCAAATCCCGCCTCAAGACCCTCGTCTTCGACCATGACATCAGAAACACCCTTTCCCGTCCCCTCCCGACCCCAGTTCAGGTCTGAAATGCTGTACTCTGTCCAGCGCCTTGGGACGTCCTGACATGAAAGGTGCTATACACATGTAATCTTGTTGTTCTTGATTCCCTCTCTCTCTCTCTGATTCCCTCCCACTCTCCCTTTTGCTAGAGGGTGCGGATGATTCATTAGAACATAATTAACTCGTGGAGCTTTGACCCCAATAGGAGTCATTCCAAGCCGTGTGGCTGAGGCTGGTGAGGAGCCTGGTTGTTGGAGAGGAGCGATGTGTGTGTGAGAGAGAGAGAGACGAACACAGGTTGGCTGGTGCAGTGACTGTTTGCTTGCACTATTACAGGTGTGTGTGAGTGCGGAGGGCACAGTGGCACAGTACGGCATGCTGGCCACACAGCACATACAGGAAGGGGAGCTGCTGTTCTCCGTGCCCCGCTCAGCGCTGCTCAACCCCAGGACCTCAGCCATTCGGGATTTACTAAAAAAAGGTCTGTAACTCCCCCATCCCCCCATCCCACCCCAATACACACACACACACGTGTATTTACCCACATCGTTGCCTCCTGCCCATCCACTTTATGGTCCTCCTCTCTTTTCTTGACAGTGTCAACCTGGCTTTCTGGTGGCCTGGCTCTCCGGTGGCCTGGCTCTCCGGTGGCCTGGCTGTCCGGTGGCCTGGCTGTCCGGTGGCCTGGCTGTCCGGTGGCCTGGCTGTCCGGTGGCCTGGCTGTCCGGTGGCCTGGCTGTCCGGTGGCCTGGCTCTCCGATGGCCTGGCTCTCCGGTGGCCTGGCTCTCTGGTCTGGCTCTGGTTCTCTGGTCTGGCTCTGGCTCTCTGGTGGCCTGGCTCTGGTTCTCTGGTGACCTGGCTCTCTGGTGGCCTGGCTCTGGTTCTCTGGTGTCCTGGCTCTCTGGTGGCCTGGCTCTCTGGTGGCCTGGCTCTCTGGTGGCCTGGCTCTCTGGTGGCCTGGCTCTCTGGTGGCCTGGCTCTCTGGTGGCCTGGCTCTCTGGTGGCCTGGCTCTCTGGTGGCCTGGCTCTCTGGTGGCCTGGCTCTCTGGTGGCCTGGCTCTCTGGTGGCCTGGCTCTCTGGTGGCCTGGCTCTCCGGTGGCCTGGCTCTCCGGTGGCCTGGCTCTCCGGTGGCCTGGCTCTCCGGTGGCCTGGCTCTCCGGTGGCCTGGCTCTCCGGTGGCCTGGCTCTCCGGTGGCCTGGCTCTCTGGTGGCCTGGCTCTCTGGTGGCCTGGCTCTCCGGTGGCCTGGCTCTCCGGTGGCCTGGCTCTCCGGTGGCCTGGCTGTCCGGTGGCCTGGCTGTCCGGTGGCCTGGCTCTCCGGTGGCCTGGCTCTCCGATGGCCTGGCTCTCCGGTGGCCTGGCTCTCCGGTGGCCTGGCTCTCCGGTGGCCTGGCTCTCCGGTGGCCTGGCTCTCCGGTGGCCTGGCTCTGGCTCTCTGGTGTCCTGGCTCTCTGGTGGTCTGGCTCTGGTTCTCTGGTGTCCTGGCTCTCTGGTGGCCTGGCTCTCTGGTGGCCTGGCTCTCTGGTGGCCTGGCTCTCTGGTGGCCTGGCTCTCTGGTGGCCTGGCTCTCTGGTGGCCTGGCTCTCTGGTGGCCTGGCTCTCTGGTGGCCTGGCTCTCTGGTGGCCTGGCTCTCTGGTGGCCTGGCTCTCTGGTGGCCTGGCTCTCCGGTGGCCTGGCTCTCCGGTGGCCTGGCTCTCCGGTGGCCTGGCTCTCCGGTGGCCTGGCTCTCCGGTGGCCTGGCTCTCTGGTGGCCTGGCTCTCCGGTGGCCTGGCTGTCCGGTGGCCTGGCTGTCCGGTGGCCTGGCTCTCCGGTGGCCTGGCTGTCCGGTGGCCTGGCTGTCCGGTGGCCTGGCTGTCCAGTGGCCTGGCTGTCCAGTGGCCTGGCTCTCCGGTGGCCTGGCTCTCCGGTGGCCTGGCTCTCCGGTGGCCTGGCTCTCCGGTGGCCTGGCTCTGGTTCTCTGGTGTCCTGGCTCTCTGGTGGTCTGGCTCTGGTTCTCTGGTGTCCTGGCTCTCTGGTGGCCTGGCTCTCTGGTGGCCTGGCTCTCTGGTGGCCTGGCTCTCTGGTGGCCTGGCTCTCTGGTGGCCTGGCTCTCTGGTGGCCTGGGTCTCTGGTGGCCTGGCTCTCTGGTGGCCTGGCTCTCTGGTGGCCTGGCTCTGGTTCTCTGGTGTCCTGGCTCTCTGGTGGTCTGGCTCTGGTTCTCTGGTGTCCTGGCTCTCTGGTGTCCTGGCTCTCTGGTGTCCTGGCTCTCTGGTGTCCTGGCTCTCTGGTGTCCTGGCTCTCTGGTGGCCTGGCTCTCTGGTGGCCTGGCTCTCTGGTGGCCTGGCTCTCTGGTGGCCTGGCTCTCTGGTGGCCTGGCTCTCTGGTGGCCTGGCTCTCTGGTGGCCTGGCTCTCTGGTGGCCTGGCTCTCTGGTGGCCTGGCTCTCTGGTGGCCTGGCTCTCTGGTGGCCTGGCTCTCCGGTGGCCTGGCTCTCCGGTGGCCTGGCTCTCCGGTGGCCTGGCTCTCCGGTGGCCTGGCTCTCTGGTGGCCTGGCTCTCTGGTGGCCTGGCTCTCTGGTGGCCTGGCTCACCACAACTCATAGGTGAGAGTGCTACCATGGTGTCTGGCTGATACATGTTCAGGCTGACCAAAGAATCACAAGACTATTGCAATGTCTTAATAAGACTTTAAAAATAATCATATTTTGGGGGAGTTGTAGATAATAGAGTAGATATCATGACTGTTTGGTCACCCTGTATAAACATACTTACTCACATGTCCACACACACAAATGCTCATCCATATACACATACAAACATGCGCACCACAGTGTGACCTGCTCACACACACACTCTCCGCAGCAGTGAACAGGATCATGTTTGGAACAGGGCGGTGTTTGGGGTGGGCAGTGTGCCGGGCGAGGTGGGTGAGTGTGGAGTGTGGTGGGCAGGTATGTGCAGTGTGTAACTGGTTGGTTGTGACTGTGTTACAGAGGAGGCTGCCCTGCAGAGCCGGTCAGGCTGGGTGCCTCTCCTCATCGCCTTGCTACACGAGTCTACGAGCAGCTCCTCTCACTGGCAGCCCTACCTGTCCCTCTGGCCTGGCTTCAGCTCACTAAACCACCCCATGTTCTGGTAAGAAACTCCAGCCAACTCTCTCTCCTGATAATCCACAATCCATGCTGTATTGTTACTGGCTCCGCAAACCCTGATAATAAACCTCTCATCAACGAAAGGCAAAATACTGTAATAGAAACAGAAGTGGTCGGGAACACAGAGCAGGTCAGGCAGCATCTATGGAGAGAGGAAAGTGGGTTAACGTTTCAGGTTGATGGCCAAAGCTCCCTGGGAACATTCAGCAGGTCAGGCAGCATCTATGGAGAGATGCTCCATGGATGCTGCCTGACCTGCTGAGTGTTCCCAGCGACTTCTGTTCTTATTAAGGATTATTATGATGTGTATGTTCGGAATATTTGCTGCATACAGTGACTGGAGGAGTCTTGGCTGTGCTGGCTCTTTGGAAGAGCGACCCAATCAGCCCCACTCCCCTGCTCTTGCCCCATATCTTTGCAAATTTTCCCTTTCCAAGTCTCTATCCAATTCCCTTTTGAAAGTCGTTATTGAATCTGTTTCCTCCAACGCTTTCAGGCCGTGCGTTCCAGACCCTAACAACTCGCTGTGTAAAAAAAGATCTCCTCGTCTCCCCTCTGGTTCTTTTGTCAGTTATCTTAAATCTGTGTCCTCTGGTTACTGACCCACCTGCCAGTGGAAACAGTTTCTCCTGATCTACTCTATAAAACCCTCATAATCTTGAATAACTGTTAAATCTCCCCTTGACCTTCTCTGCTGTAAGGAGAATTAACGTATAAGATGCTGATTGAGGGTGAGGAGGTGAGGGTGCCAGATTGGTGTTTGTGCTGCTGTTCTGCAGAGGGAGGTGACTGTGGTGTGTGTGCAGGGAGGAGGGTGAGCGAGCCAGGCTGCTGCAGGGCACCGGGGTGCTGGAAGCAGTGCAAAGAGACCTGAGGAACATCGAAGATGAGCACCAGAGCATCGTGCTGCCATTCCTGCGCGCCCATCCCCAGACATTCCCCCCAAACACACACTGTCTGCAACTCTACAAGAGGCTCGTGGCCTTCGTCATGGCCTACAGGTCAGTGCGGGGGTGGGTGGGGGAAGTGGAGGAAGGGGTGATTGGGGGAGAGGAGGAGTGGGGGGGGGGGGAGAGAGGCTACCCTGTTAGTCAGTTTCCTGTGGCTGCAGTTTTCAGGAGCCATCAGACAATGATGAAGAGGATGATGATGATGAAGATGAGGACGAGGAGCTGAACCCTCCCATGATGGTGCCAATGGCTGACATCCTGAACCACATCTCCAACCACAACGCCAACCTGGAATTCACCCCCGTAAATATCACAGCAGGAGGGTGGGGGTGAACTGGGCGGGGAGCGGAGGGGGGGGTTGTGCTCAGTGTCTTCAGCCCCTTAGTGACACCTTCCCAGATCCTTGTTCTCACCTTGAAATCCCCCCATGGTCTCACCCCCACCCACCCTTTGTGCTCTCCGTCAACCTCATTGAACCCATTGAACCCTGACCTGCCCCACCATCGGCAGGTGGGCTTTCAGCCATTCTGCCCCCTCTCTCCAACTCCTTCTGCTTCACGACTGTTTGTGGGACGCTGCTGTATGCAATTGGCTGCTGTGTTTCGCCCACAAAATAACAGTCACTTCACTTGACAATATATTCTGTGAAACATTTTGAGACGTCTTGACCGTGATAAGGCGCTATATTCACACCCTTCATCTTCACCTATGTAGCCTGAGCTTTTGTTCATCTTTATGTCAACTTGCTCAGCGCCCCCCCACCCTCCCAATCGCACCTCTTTGCCCAGCCAACCTGTGTGACTGCAGACCCCCGCCCTCCCCCACTGACTGGCTCCTGGCTCTGCCTTTCTCTCTCCCACGCTGTGTCTCACTCTCTCTCTCTCTCCGCCCCCCACCACGCTGTGTCTCACTCTCTCTCTCTCTCTCCGCCCCCCACCCCGCTGTGTCTCACTCTCTCTCTCTCTCTCTCTCCGCCCCCCACCCCGCTGTGTCTCACTCTCTCTCTCTCCGCCCCCCACCCCGCTGTGTCTCACTCTCTCTCTCTTTCTCCGCCCCCCACCCCGCTGTGTTTCACTCTCTCCCACACTGTCTCACTCTCCCACGCTGTGACTCACTCTCTCTCTCTCCCTCCCTCTCTCCCCCCCCCCCCCCCGCCCCCCGCTGTGTCTCACTCTCTCCCACACTGTGTCTCTCACTCTGTCCCACACGGTGTCTCACTCTCTCTCGGGTTTGGTTTTGGCGGCGGAAATGGTTGTCGTACCGGGGGATCGGGTGGGTTTGGAGATGGTCCTGGATTTCAGGGGGACGAGGGAGTTGAAGATGGAGGAGAGGCGATCATGGAGCAGATGGACGGCTGCCTCAGGATCTCCGCAGGTGGAATGCCAGAGGGATAGGATGTTTGATGAAGTGAGGGCCTTTGTGAGGGTCTCGGGGGTAGCCTTTTCCAAGGGCGGTAGAGGTTGGTTGAGGGCTTGGTGGAGGAGAGAGGGATGTGAGAAGAGGAGATGAAAAAGTAGTTCCAGATGGCCTTGTCCACTATGCTGAGGTGGGAAATGTCAAGATCATGGGAGATGACGAGGTCAAGTGCAAGACCATGGTTGTGGTTGGGTGAATTTATATGGAGGGTGAGGTTTAGGGAGGAGAGGAGGGCAGTGAAATCGGCAGAAGTGGTGCAGGTGGAGTTTAGGTGGAGGTTGAAATCGCCCATTATGAGCAGGTGCTTGGAACAGAGGGACAGGGAAGAGAGGAAGGTAGAGATGTCTGTGTGGAAGGCCTTAGAGGGTGGTGGTAGACCAAAAGGATTTTCAATGGGAGAGAGGGGTAGAAGAGGGTGAGGTGCTCGAAGGAGGGGAAGCAGCCAGAAGAGTAGGGGGTGAGACCAAGGGAGGCTTTGGAAATGAAGGCCACCCTGCCGCCATGTTGGTTTGGACAGGGATGTGGTGGAAAGTGTAGCCAGTGGGTGATGGGACACTTGGGGTGGCTGCTCTGGGACAGCCAGTGCCGGGAGCCACGATGGACCCGGCAGAGGATGCCCAGGCTGGAGCAGAGGGAAGTGGTGATGGGGTCGAGGAGAGAGAGAAGGCGGGGAGGACGGTGGGAGAGAAGGACAGAGGGGGTGGGAGGAGAGACATTTAGAGTGGAGGGGAAGGCTCGGATCGGGGCTGCAGCCAAAACGCACGCTCAGAGACCGGGAGCGAGCGATCAACGGGACGGCATCAGCCCTCAGGCTCAGCCTCCCAGGTCATGGCCAGGGTGGCAGTGCCAGGGCCAGGACATTGTTGTTGTTGCTGTTTTTTTAAAAAAAAACACGGAGGGATAGAGGAAGTGTATTCAATACAATATCACATTTACACAGAACACCTTTCACTCCGGGAGGACGACTCCAGGCGCTGGACAGTTAGGGATTTGGACCCGAGCTGGGAATTGGGATCAGGAGGGGTGAGGGTAGGAGGGTGGCTGAAGATGTGGTTGAAGAGGAGGGTCTTGAGACATGCCTTTAAAGAGGCAAGGGAGAGCAAGGCGAAGGCACAAGCTGGCATCAATGGCAGATGCCAGATTTACTCCTGAACTTTTCCCCGGCCTATTGTTATGAGGAACTTCATGCTGACCATGTCTTATTTGCCAAAGCTCCACGTTCACATTGTCCAGACTGAGGTGGATAGATGTTTGTTAGGTCAGGGTGTCAAGTTGGGCAAGAGCGGGTCATTGGAGTTGGAAGTACAGATCAGCTATGATCTTATGGAATGGCGGAAAGGCTTGATGGGCAGAATGGCCTGCTCCTGTTCCTCTGAAGCACCGTGTTTGGTATGTAGGCAGACCACCAGCTCTGCACCTCTCAACTGGAGGAACCATCACTCAGTGTGGCGGGAAGTGTATCAAACTTGCGTTTTGTATACAATCTGGGGATCAGGTTCGACCCCTAACTGTACTTCCAACCTCGTCCTTAACCAAGACCCCCTTTTTCCACCTCCGTCAGATTGCCCACCTCCCGACTGTACCTCACCCCAAATGCAGCTGAACCCTCGTCCACCCCTTATCTCACGGCTCAACTATTCCCCTTGCTGATCTCCCCATCTCCACGTGACACAAAATATAACTGATTCAGAACTCCACCATCCTACTCTCACTAAACTCCATACCCCCATCACCACCATGGCTCCCTGTGACAGAATTGATCGATTACAAGATCCTCTCCCTAGCCTTCACACCCTGACATCTCTTTACTATTCTTACCTGCTCTCCACTACCCGCTGCTTCAGCTTGGCTGGCTCCGGCCTCCTGCTTGTCCTTTCCGCTCCACCATCGGTGGCTACGAGGCCCTGAAACTTTGGAATTCTCCCCCAATCCATCTGCCTTGCTCCCTCCATCCCTCTTTCAGATCATGATTTAAGACCTTCATCTTGAATTGTGCTTAAAGTTACCTCCTCCCTCTCCGCAGCTTGGGGTCAGGCTCTGCCACTATTATGGGCAGAGATAATGTATGTAAGGCGCTATAAAAATGTAAGCCGTTATCATTTCATGGGACCAAGTTAATCATTTATATTTGGTAAACGCTTGCCACATCAAGAAGACGTGCCTCACAGGATATACTCTAAAGTGTAGTGACTGTGTTTGGTAAATGTTGCAGCTGATTGATGGACAGCCATAGATTCATAGAATCTTACAGCAAAGAAGGAGGCCATTCGGCTCATCGTGCCTGTGTCAGTGCTTTGAAAGACTTACCCAATCACTCCCACTCTAATACCACAGCCCTACAAATGTTAACTTTTTAAGTCCCTATCCAATTACCTTTTGAAAGGTATTATCAAATCTGTTCGCATCACCCTTTCAGGTCATGCATCCCAGACTAACAACTCTCTGGGTAAAAATATCTCCTGGTCTCCCGTCTGGTTCTCTTGCCAATTATCTTAAATCTATGTCCCCTGGTTACCAACCCACCCGCCAGAGGAAACAGTTTCTCCCGATCTACTCTATCAAACCCTTCATAGTTTTGAACACCTTTATTAAATCTCCCCTCAACCTTCTCTGCTTTAGGGAGAACAATCCCAGTCTCTCTCCATAGTTATCGTCCCTCATCCCACAATTGAAAACTCCAGATGAGGCCTAACCAGTGATTTGTAAAGGTTCAACATAATACCTTTGCACTTTTACTCTACACTTCTTTTTATAAAGCCAAGGATCCCATATGCTTTAACAGCTTTGTCAATCTGTCCTGCCACCTTCAAGGATTTGGTTATGTGAGCCCCCAGGTCTCTGTTCCTGTACCCCCTTTAAAACTGTACCTTATATTAAATTGCCTCGTCTCCTCCCTCTTTGAGAAGCGCTATATAAATAATGATTTACTGACTCTCCATCACTGAAACGGTCCTAGCAAGTGTGTAAATCCAGTGTTTGTTTTCTAGGGCACACTTCGTGTCTTACTGGTTCTTTTGCATGACTTTCCGGAGTTCCTGTGTGACTACCATTATGGCTTCTGTGATGTGATCCCACCCAACTGTATCCAGCTGCGGAACCTGATCCTGAGTGCCTTCCCACGCAACATGCGGCTGCCAGATCCCTTCACTCCCAACCTGAAGGTACACAGCGCTGGTGACCAGCTCCCAATCACTTCTGAAGTAATGCAGGAGACATCACCGTCTCAGCACCAAGCCCAGCACCCTTTATGCTACAAATATGACACCTCAATAAAATGAATGCTGCTGATTTCAGCCTGTTTCAGAGACTGTGTAACAATAGTGATGGACTCTGAAGTGCCTGAACTCTGCTCCCATCTGAAGCCAGGTTTGGGGTGTTTGAGCTGAGTTTCACGATCGATATTAAATCCAGAGTTTGAAAGTGAAGCTTTCCAGAATCTCCCAAATACCATCTCCTCAATTTGTTTCTCTCCTGAAGACTTTTATCCTTCAACTGAGGGACCTCTTAGTGCAGGTATCCTCTCGTACCTCACCACACGGCCACTGATTGTGTGTGACGGGGAGTGTCGCAGGCTTATTTGGCCACACGGCCTCGCTTACTTCCAGGAATATCTAGTGAACATCAGCGGAGATACTGGCTGTTTGTCTTACGCTGCTCTCCTCTCCCCACTCCCAGCCTTGCTGAGGCCCTTCCCCAGGGCCGGTCTGAGATCAGTCACTCACTACAAATCAGCGTTGTTCCTGGTGCTACAATGCAAAGCTTTACCCTGTGGCAGCCCTGAGACTGATACTCATTGTGTCATGTTACTGAGCTCTGCTTTGCAGTATTGAGACTGTTGTGTTGTGGCAGGTGGATATGCTGAGCGAAATCAACATTGCTCCTCGGATACTGACCAACTTCACCGGAGTGATGCCACCTCAGTTTAAGAAGGACCTGGACTCCTATTTGAAGACCCGTTCTCCAGTCACCTTCCTGTCTGAGCTGCGCAGCAACCTGCAGGTAAGCATGAGGCTGTTCACCTTCATCCATAGTGTCCTTCCTTACACTGGCTAGTTATGATTTCAAGGGACGTGCCATCAAAATGTAAGCTTTATCGGAGGTAATAATCTCTTCAAAAAAATAATAAATTGGTCACTCAATCCACGACTGTTTGTGGGACGCTCCTGTGCCGCATGTCGCCCACAAAATATGCAGTTGATTCATTTCACAGTATATTCTGTGAAGCGCTTTGAGACGCTCGAAGATATAATAAGGCACCGTATCAAATGCAATGATTATTATTATGAGGCCCAGTGTAGTGAGTTAATGCGTTCAGTTTATCCTCACATATTAAAATATCTTTGGCAGAGCTACCCAATCAGTCCCACTCACCCGCTCTTTTCCCATATCCTTGCAAGTTTTTTTTCTTTTTAACTACCTGTCCCTTTTGAAAGTTGTTATTGAATCCGTTTCCACTGACCTTTTCAGATCATGCATTCCAGACCACCAGCTGTGTGTGTGTGTATATATATATATATATATATAAAAACTAATGTATATTTTATTTCTCCTTGTCTCCCTTCTGGTTCTTTGAACATCGCCAGACTACGGCACTACCTCACCCCTCACGCTGCTGAAACCCTGGTTCACGCCTTTGTCACCTCAAGGCTGGACTATGGGAACTCTCTCCTCGCGGCCTTCCCGCCACCTCCCTCCACAAGCTGCAGGTCATTCAGAACTCTGCAGCTCGTGTACTGTCCCGCACCAGGCTTCGGGACCACATCACTCCCACCCTCGCTCGCCTCCACTGGCTCCCCATCCCCCAGAGGATTGATTTCAAGATCCTCATCCTCACCTACAAGGCCATTCACGGCCTTGCTCCCTCCTACCTCTCCAACCTACTATCCCCCTACCTACCTGCCCGTACCCTCCGTTCCTCTGGCTCCGGTCTGCTCCACGTCCCCCGCCCCAACCGCCCTACCATCGGTGGTCGGGCCTTCAGCCTCTCAGCCCCCAGGCTCTGGAACTCCATCCCCCAGTGCCTTCGCCTTGCTTCCTCCCTTTCCTCCTTCAAGGCCGGTCTCAAAACCTTTCTCTTTGACCGAGCCTTCAGCTCCCCTCTCGACTCTCTTCCCCCTCCTCGCTCCCTCCCTTCCCTCCCCTCACCCTGACCATTTCCCCCTCCTTGCTCCCTCCCTTCCCTCACCCTGACCATTTCCCCCCTGCTCGGGTCATGACCCAACTGTACAGCGCCTTAGGACGTCCTCCTGACGTGAAAGGCGCTTTTAAATGGAATCTTGTTGTTGTTGTTGTTGTTTGCCAATTATCTTAAATCTATGTGGTTACTGACCCATCTTCCAGTGAAAACAGTTTCTCCCTATCTATTATCAAAACCCTCATAATTTTGAACAACTCTATTAATCCCCCCTTAACCTTCTCTGCTGTAAGGAGAATAATCTTTTTTTGTATTTTCTTTGTGTTCAGGTCTCAAACGAACCTGGCAATCGGTACAACATTCAGCTAATCAACGCACTGGTGCTGTATGTGGGCACGCAGGCGATCGCTCACATCCACAACAAGGGCAGCACCCCCTCCATGAGCACCATCACCCACTCAGCCCACATGGACATCTTCCAGAACCTGGCTGTGGACCTCGATACAGAAGGTAAAGAACTGAAAAACGGCAAAAGCTACAATGGTCAGTTTTTAAGCTTTATTATCCCTGTATTTGCCCAGTAACCTCTGTACTTGGACTTGTTAAACGCTATGTTTAAAGGAGGAGAATAGAGCCAGGGCAATACTAGCACATACAGGTGGATGGAATCCTCGAACAGTAAAGCAAAGGAGAGAGCTGGTCTTTTCTCTTCCTCTCCTCCCCCCCCTTCCCCTTCCTAATAGTGACCTCAGTATCGCACTCACTGCAGATGGATGTTATTAGCATGGTTTGAGGGTGGGGAGGTGGGGGGGCAGCGCCACAGTAATCCTCATTGGATCTGGCCTGGAGAGTCAGCCAGACCTCCACATCCCAGCCACATTGTCCTGTCTGGCCTCAGTGACCCAGGCAGGATCTCCCACGGGACCCAAGCTATTCTCCTCCTTTACATTAGCAATGTTCACATAGCACTAATCTCTGTGGTTCAGCTCGCAATTCCCTCCTTCTCAAAGAAACAATTGAGAAATCCTGAACTGTTTGCCTTGCGTGCTGCTTAATGGGATAATGTGTGCAGGGCAATGGCCCCGAGCGCCTGCAGCTTGTGGACTGGAACCCCTGGGGAGGGCGGGACAGGGCAGGGAGGGGGGAGAGCAGGAGGAGGGGTGGGGTCGATGCTAGGTTTAAAGTGTAAGAGGTCTAGGCTGATGTATTTAATAATCGGCTTAGTGAAGGTGCTGAGTGTTGTGTGTTCCTGCAGCTCCAGTGGCAGATTATCAGGCCTGGGTGGATGAGGACATGTGTGGTGTGTTGGCTATGTTTCACTGCCCAGTGGAGGGAGTGATTGTGTCAGTGTGGGCGTCTGGGATATCTGGCTTCTCCTCTGTCTTACAGGTCGGTACTTGTTCCTGAACGCCATCGCCAACCAGCTGCGTTACCCCAACAGCCACACTCACTACTTCAGCTGCACCATGCTCTACCTGTTTGCTGAGGCCAACACTGAGGCCATTCAGGAGCAGATCACCAGGTGAACAACCAACCCCCTGGCCCCAGACACCTTCTCCTCCCCGCCCCAGGCATGCATCTCCCACCACGCCCCCAGGCACGCGCCCTTCCCCACGCACGCATCCCCCCCCCAGGCACGCATCCCCCGCGCCCCCAGGCATCCCCCGCGCCCCAGGCACGCACACCACCACCTTGCCCCCTCAGCCCCAGCCACTTGTCCCCATGTGCTCGGTCTGCGTCTGTGTGCTCGGTGTGTCTTATATCTGTGCGCTCGGGCGGTGTGTGTCGGTCTCAGTGCTCAGTGTGTCTGGTTGCCTGCAGGGTGCTGCTGGAGCGGCTGATTGTGAACAGGCCGCACCCGTGGGGGCTCCTCATCACTTTCATCGAGCTGATTAAAAATCCAGCGTTCAAGTTCTGGAACCATGAGTTCGTCCACTGTGCTCCTGAGATTGAGAAGTAGGTTTGGATTCGCACTCACTCTAGACTTTTGTTTTCTGTTTCAGTTTGCCCCCAGCCACCTCACATTACACACGTCATCAACCCGTCTTTATTGTGATCCCATTCTGTGCAACACCATTACTGAGCTATTCACTCTCAGTCAAGATCACAAAATACACATTGTTTTGCCCCATTGCTGTCGCTGAGGACAGATCTGCTCCCACACACTGCTAAGCTGCCAGATCAGGTGTAGTAACAGCTGAGTTCGGAGTGTGTCCCTCTGTGCACCCTATTATGCACAGCACTGTGTACTTTTCTGGGACCAAGCACACTTATTTTGATGCTGTGTACCATTAATTGGTTTCCTTCCTCCCTTTTCTACTGAGGAACCTGGAACTCAACATTCATCCCAGATTCATCCCAAATCCTTCATCTGGAATCTATATCCGGGGAAGCTATCGCTGGATACAGATAAGATTCTAACATCAAGTTAACAAATGGGAACCATTTGGCCTGAGCTGCTCTAGAGCCACCCACCAGCCTCCCTATGGCACCTCCACGTTCCCTCCACCTCTTGGGGAATGTTGTCATAGATACCCCTGATCCCCAAAGCATAACCTCTACTCCCTAACTCAGCCCCCCCCACCCCCGCACACATTCTCTCTCACACACTGTCTCCGTTTGTGCTGATGTTGCTCTGGCAGAGATGTTCTTGGGTCTGATTGTGACAGACTCAGTCAGATAGACCTGTGTTGTGTTTAATGCAGTTTTAGCCTTCACAGGTGGTTGTTCCTTGTGCACTTATCCAGCTTCTCATTTCCAGGCCCCTCTCTCCCTGACCTATTTCAGTGGATTTTTCTTTCTTTTCTAATAAGTGTCAACTCGTAAACTAGGCAAGAAGGCAACAGGTCTGACCCTAGCTGAGTATCTACCACCTTCTATGTGTGGGGGAGGGGGGGGGCGGTGGGAAGCTGTGCCTGTTATTCTGAATTAGTTATGGGGGGGAGGGAAAGAGTTGTGTCTTGTGTCTGGGCAGGTGCTCACTCCCTCTCTGTTTGTGGGAAGTCCTGAATGTTGAGTTGACAGGGAGTGGAGTGCTCAGTCTACACTGGAGTCACAGAGGTCTGCAGAACCTCACTCCTGTGCTGGTTTGTTTTTCAGCTGCTTGACTAATTCTGGTGAATGGTGTTTTGCAGATTGTTCCAGTCTGTAGCTCAGTGCTGTATGGGACAGAAGCAGGCACAGCAAGTAATGGAAGGCACTGGTGCCAGCTAAAACTATGAAGAAATGTTCCATACTGTGGACATGCAACATGGAGAGTGATGAGCAGCCCACTGTTTTCTTGAAACTGACGTTGGTTGTGTAAATTGCAGGTTCTTCCAATCCGATGCAGTCCTCTGCACAAGTCAGACATAGGAAAAGCCGCTGGTGAAGGGCTACATGTTGGACATGTTGTTTTCATTTGTCACTTGGCCAAAAAAAAGCAAATGCTGTGAATATCATTTGAAATGATATAAAAACACAATGTAAATAAAAGGGAGTGCAACCTCAAACTGGACTTTCTCCATCTGTGCAAATTGTATTAAAGACTTCAACCCAGTCATTACTGTTGGCAGCTGATGAGACTTAGATTGAAGGGCGTCTGGGACGGATTTTCCCCATTCCCCCCTCCCCCACCACGTCCCCTCCACTCTCCGAAGATCTTACAGGAGCTGCTCTTCATCTTGTGGGGAAGCAATATCAACTCCTCTAGTCCTACACACAAACTACAGCCCAGTGGTATGGATATGCAGTATGGTTTGCAAAAAAGTCATCTGTTTGCCTTTATATTTTTATTTTGAAGCATTTTGTCTGAAGACGCCGAGCAGCTCCTCTTAAACGAAAGGGGGTCCCGGGCTCTGCGGGGTCCTTAATGCGAAGGGAAATAAGAGGTTCTCCCTGAATTCTGTAAATTGTGGGATAAAGAGCCAGTTTTGCGGCACGAAGTCTATTAAGTTTGTAAAAAAGAACCAAGGACCAATACAGGCCATTTTGTAAGGATTTTGAATGTTGTTTTGTAAATGTATTGGTCCATGTGTTGTATTTTGTAGTCTTTGTAGTTTCCTTGGCTCTAGTTCTGCCACTTAACTCTCTTGTATGTAAGCATATTGTAGTTAATGCATTAAAACCCATGACATCAGTAATCTCCTTTGTTTATTGCCTCTAGAGATTTGGCTAGCAGGACACAGAATTGTGCTAACCAGCAGGCAAAGGGTTAGCTGCCTCTCTGACCTGTACTCCTGTAGTGAAACCTGCCCTTTCACGGCTCAACCCAACACAAACTTGACTGTTGGTGTCGGTCTCACTCCTGCATCTGCGTCAAAGGTTGTGGGTTCAGGGTAGGGGAGCGCTGCATGGTCCCAGGTGAGATGTTCAACCTGTCGGCCTGAATGTTAAATACCATTGGGAAAAACAAAAGATTCTCAACAATCCACTAGAGAAATCTCTTCATTTCAGTTTCGTCTCCCTCTCCATTACAGACTGATGCCTGTCTGTAAAGCTATTTGTGAGTCGTGTGCGGATTGTCTGCTCAGTTACTGATGGGGAGGTGGTCTGTTATCAGTTCCCCAATCCCCCAGAGTTTGATTGCTGCCCAAATTGTCCCCAGTTCCCTCCCCCCCCCCCCCCCCCCCAGGAGTTTTATGCTTGTGTGATTCTGAGGATTGGGTTCAGTGGTGAAAGCCTCGCTTGTAGCATCATGCCAGCACTTGGGTCTCTCATAAACAGATTATGTGGTGAGGTATTGGAGTTGTGTGGAAAGCTAAATCAAGCCAACACCTTCAGGCTGGCAGAGCAAGAATAGCACTGACCCTGGTTGTGTGGCTAACCACCGCACTCTACTCAGGGCTTCCCAAAGCTGAGCACAACACTTGACTGATAATTTTGTGTGAAGCTTTGACTTTGGCGAAACCACATTGCTGGAGATGTGAGCTGTTCAAGGAGGTGATCCCACCATGTGCTGGAGGCAACTTCTCGTTAGCCATTTCTAGATTAATTAGGTTTTACGTCAGGATTCAATGTGCATCTGTCTATGTATGTCCATCAGCAGGACTGACCCAGGCTTCCTATTGTTGCCCCCCCCCCCCCCAATCTGAACCCCTCAACCAGGAGAGGAGTTTGCTGAGGAAGTGGCTGCTTGTGTCTGGGGGGGGGGGGGCTCACTTGGTATCCCCAATATTGTGATGGTTCTGCCCTCAATGGCCAGTCAGTCTACCTCAAAATCCTGCCAAAGAACCAGACAGGCTGGTCTGTCATCAGCAGTGCCCAGGACGACTCAGGAACTGGAGAATGCACTTGAAGGTGGACTTGATTCTGGCATTCCATTACCAAACATGTCACCTTGGAGCCAGTTCATATCCAACGAGACCCCCCCCCCCGACAGCCTGTCTCGATTGATAGCACTCACCCACCTCTTGAGTCAGAAGGTTGCTGTTTTACACTCGTCAGGACTTGGAATTCATTTACTCTTAAGATGACACTCCAGTGCAGTGCTGCGGGAAGTGCTGTTTGTTGGACGTGCCCTCTGGGGAACAATACCTCAGATAAAATTGGTCATTTGCTCCATGAAAATTGATTTTCACTTGGAAAGACATGGGTTAATAAATAAAGCCAACACCAGAGTTGTTAAAGGCAAATCGTGTATAACTAACTTGAGTGAGTTCTTCTATGAAGCAATCGAGGAAGTTGATGAAGGTATTGCAATTGATATTGTGTATATGGACTTTCAAAAGGTGTTTGACGAACGTCCACATAATAATCTTGGGATTAAGGGAAGAGTAGCAGCACGGACCTGAAATTGGCTGGAAGACAAATAGCAGAGGGCAGTGGTGAACAGTTTTTCAGACCGGAGGAAAGTATACAGTGGTGTTCCCCAGGGATTGATATTAGGTCCACTGCTCTTTTTAAGATATGTGAATAACTTGGACAGAGAGAGCAACATTTTAAAGTTTGCTGATGACACACAACTTAGAAATATAGTGACCAGTGAGAAGGACAGCAGCAGACGGCGGAGACATGGCCAGTCTGGTGACGTGGGGAGACACGTGGCGGATGGAATTTAATGCAGAGAAATGTGAAGTGATGCATTTTGGGAATAATAATAATCCTTGCATTTGA